AATGGCTTGGGAATAAAACCAGAGGCTGTGTGTTCACCTCCTCGTCCCAGTTTAGTTCAGCAAGCAATAATCAGAGCGTTCTCTACAGCTAACACGCAAGGGTATTTACTATAGACTCTGGAAGAACAATCAGGTTTAGGCAGGCAGCTCAGACATCTTAGTGCTCACCTGGGAATAAGAGGTCTTTTTTCTTTCCCTCCCCTAGTTCTTTCTCCTCAGCTGCATTCACTGTGGGCTTCAGAATAAATGGCTTTAAATCTGAGCTCAGCAAGAGCTAAGCCTGAAAAGCCAGAAGATGCTATTCATGAGCATTTCCTGGGAGCTCAGGCAAAAGCCAAACCAAGACCTTTTTGCTGAGCCTGAGCAGCGTGAGGAGGAGTATTTGAGGATGAATAGAGAAAGGTGTTTGGAAGGCAGGAACAGAGGAAAAGACCAAAGAGAGCAGGTTTCAAAACGCATGGGTCTCACCCATACTGCTCTAAATTGCCTTCTCCTTGCCAATCTCAGTGAAATTCCCCCTTACCTCAGTTAACCCTTTGTCCCAAACAAAGCAGGTAAGTCCTCTCTGCTCTCCATGCTGCACACCAATTGGGATTTCTAGCGGTGCCTTTGGACCAGCTCCAGAGCAGGCATAACCCAGCACAGCTTCTTACTGGAGATAGAGATGTGATCCCACGGGATTCCTAACCAGCCATAAGAACCTTTATCTGCCTGGAGCAGCCCTTCTCACTGCATTTACACTCCAACAGATATTTTCTCTCCCTTGTACCCTAAGGTCAATCCCTGAGACACTAAAACAAGCACCACAATAAATACAACAGAAAGGATTACTCTGTCCAAATTGACTAAAGCACAAGAAATACTGCTCCAAAACAGCCTAAGTCAAGAAACAAGAAATGTTAGGTCTTTCTGCTGTAATAGACCCTCATTTATCACACTGAGAAGGGTACTTTTTAAAGGCAAATGGCCAACTAGCCCCTTTGATACATGGAGATGCTTCAAGATAGGTATGACATAGAAACCCTAGGCAGAAGCTATGTACCGGCTAATCTGACAGTTATCTCCTTTACAGCCAGCTACTGTCATTTCAGTCTCTGTAAACTGCCAGCTACACTGATAACTGCAGAGCTAAACAGCAGAGGAGAAAGCCTTTGTTAATTAAGCCAGCTCCCTTCATTTTCTTACTGATCTGCTGTTGTGTGGCCCTTTGTGCTGGTGATGGACTGCAGCACACCCCCCCAAGGCATCTGCACACTGGTGGCAAGGCAGGCAATCCTCATCTGCTGGTTGGAATGCTTTCTGGGATGAAATGCTGCAGTCCTGCCACAAATCAGCCTATTAACTCGGCTGGAGCACAGCAGATTCCCCCTTGGAGGGGGAAAAACCCCTCCCTGAAGGATACATAAACCTGCCCGTTGTCCGATCCAGCTGATACAGGGCTATTTTCCCAGTGTGGTATCAACTTCCAGAGGAGCCTATTTATACTGAATTCATCAGTGCTACTTTGTACCCAAGAAGAGTTCAGCTCTGTATTTTCAATCAGTTAGTGGCCATCAAACTCTTAATGGGGTTTCTGGAACTGTGGGTGCTTTATCCTCTGTTCAGCAGGCGTTTCAGGATGCTGAGCCATTGCTCTGCTAACTCCGTTCAAGCTGCAGATCCTCATTTATATACATATGTGCACCTTCATGGTTAGCTATTCAGCAAGGAGGGACAAAGCTCAGCACACTAGCCCAGACTGACTTTTTACCATTTCTGATGGCACTTTGCAGTTCCTTTTGCAGGTCACTGGCCCGATTCTGCCTCCACTTATGCCTCTAAGCCATTGGGCTCTGTCATTTGCTTTGGAGAGGTGCCTCACTGGCAGGCTCTAATCAGAGCCATATAGCCAAAGCCACTACAGGAGATTTCCTCACCTTCATTGGCTACAAAAGTGACGGAGAAGAAAGAAATACATACCTTGCAAGTACTTAATCTCAGAGCTAAATGAAACTCATTGATCACTTTTCATAGCCAAATCGTGACAGCTTCACCCCAAACCTAAACAATGAGCAGTCCACCTTTGCTTCTTTACTCTTTGATAAGCTTAGAAACCAGTCACCATCCAGCCTCCAGGTGCTTTCCTTTTCCCAGTGGATGCTTTTATCATTCAGTTATCACCCATCAAAACCAGTTAACCACATTGCTGTGTCTAGCCCAGTTACCCTGTGCCCACGGCTGCAGTTATCAGTGTTGAAGGTATCTCCAGCAGCTTACATGACTGCTGGGATACAGAAAGGATCTGGAAGGGGGTTGTAACTCAGGATTAGTGCAAGAAAAGCAAAGCAAAACAATAGCTACTCCCTTTGCCTCCACCTTTTGGGTCACTTACCTGGTGAGGCACTTAGGGCTCAAGGAGAGAAGTGGACATGGCAGGGCAGCAAGCAGGGAAGGTTTCTGTGGATCTGAAATGGTTAAAAAGATTCCTATCTCAGGACCACTAAGGTCCAAAGGGTTAAAGCTATTTTATACAAAGGGTTAAAGCTATTTTATAGCTCACCATCTTTCTCTGCTAAGTCCTGTGGGCTCTCACAGTTCACAGAGCAACTCTTTCCTGTTTTATGTATGCCACTCAGTGTTGTGAGTGCCCCCAGTAAATAGCCCCAAACTTGTTAATACCTTCACCCATGCGACCTCCAGGGAGAAAATAGGTTTTTATCATTAGCTGCAAATGGAACTGCCTGGAACACCACCACAAACACGGGTTTTAGTGCACAAGGAGAGATCCCAGGCCTTTTAGTTTGGAACCTGCCAAAGTGCTGTCGACCCAGAATTGGCTGTCATTGCAGGGACAAACGTGAGGCCTCAGCCCCTGAAGAGAGGGGGGAAGCAAGAGGATCAAACAAAATGGTTACAGGGGATAAAGCAAAGTATTGCATTTTAATTGATCTAATCTTTGGCTCCCGGTGGAATTTGCAGAGATATCTTACTAGAATTACTCGAGTTTTATCAGGAGATGACAATACTGGGAAAGTGCCTTTTGGACAGTGAACCACTCCAGATCTTGAACTGCATTAGCATTGGGACCGGCTCAGCGAAAGAGCTCCCACAATAGTGCCAAAGATGAGAGCAAAAACTGAAGAGGGAGAGAACATGTGAGATGTAAACCCACCTGGGCACACAAACGTATGTGAGCACAAACCCAGGCATATGCATAATGCTGCCTGCCCTGGGACCCTCCTGTCTAAAACCTGTAGGCATCTACCAGCGAGCAGGAAATACAGGACCTACAGAGACACTAGAAAAGGCATCCAAGTGACAGCACCTTCTATCCACCCATTCCTCTTCCGAGGTCCATTTCTGTTCTGACTGCAAACATTCTGAACATTAAAGAAGACAGAAGAGGGCAAGAGGGGCATGAAAAACATCTCCTTAAAATACAGACCCAGGTATAAAACACTGTATGGGTGGCACAAACGAACACGAGAGCTAAAAGGAAAAGGCAGTGAGAAACCAGGTGGTCTCTCATAATCTCTTTCCTGACGTAATCTGTCTGAGCAGATGACTGCAAGATCTTTGGAGGAGCAGAGGAATAATGTCTGGCTGTGTCAAGATCCCGCTTTATTCACTGCGGTGAAGGGGTGAGAAAACATCAGGTCTGATAAATGATTCATGGAGCCTTTTCTTCTGCTAATCTGTAAATGCATTTTAAAGAGAAGCTTCTTTTTGATGAAGATATTCTGCTGCTCGTAAAAACATGTCAGCATTTAAAGACAACACAGGCACACTGGGATGTCTCTGCTGTTGCTGTCAGTGCTTTGAGAGCCTCTTTGCAGAGGGCAGGGATGGAGGGTTTGCTGACTTACCTCACCTGAGGATCTGCCCCTCTCATCCCATGGCACTGGATTCTCGGGCTCTGGCAAAGCCTTACCTCATCTCATGCTTGCACCTTCACTGCAGATTTACAGATACTAAGGCCAGAAAGGACCTTTATGCACTTCTGTCATGACATCCTGCATAATAAGCTCTAAATCCTCTCCTCCTGGTTACACGAGCCCTCTCTGAGCATGCATGTTTTACTGTCGCTCTGTGGCAGACACCTCTTTTCACATGCTGCTGGAAACAACAGAACAACTCTAATGCGCCCATCACCATGGCATCCTGCTCCCTGCACATCCTCTTCAGAAACATCTGCTGGAGTCAGGCTCCTGCCCGTGATAACATGATGGATTTGACTTGCTGTACCTAAGCCTCGGACCCTGGAAAACCGGGATCCAACCAGCAGGTCTCAGAAGGCTGTAACTGATGTGGTCCACATCACATGGAAACCTGGGCTCCCTGAACAGTCTGCACTGTTGTTAGTTGTGGGTTCTTTCACCCTTTACCACCGTATATCTTGAGCCTGCTTTCTTTTTGCCTTTTCTTTTTATTCTCCTGTTTCCATTCAGCTACAGATAACAGCAACACCACGGATGTGGACGCACTCAGGCAGCAGAGACCTGCAACAGCCAAAGCACCTCTTCCCTTTCAGCCGGGTTTCCTCCTGAGCAGACGGGCCTCAAACTGCCTCATGACTTTTGTGAGTGTGGACAGGGGAGGAAAGAGGAAAAAAAAGGCATGATTATACAAGGACATCTTTTATTTCAGTACATTCAAGACAAAAAGAAAAGAAAACAATTCAAGAACAGGATGTACCTTCACTCAAGGCTTTATCTCCCCTGCCTCTCTCCATTGTCATCTCTTTCCTTCTACAATCAGAAATTGCATAGAATTTGTTTTTTCAATCAGAAAATTAAATTTGTCAATGTAAAACCCACGTCTGTACCAAGCAGAGGGTGAGCTGCTGCTGTTGCTAGGGAAGTAAATATTTTTCCTTACATCACATCCCAGGCTAATGGTTATCTCGAATGCTGTGAGGCATTGCTGCTGCTAGACATGGGCTGCAAGTCACCCTCAAGGCTGAGGGTGCTCCGTGGGTCACGGACAAGGGGAGCTCGGTCGCTTGTTTGGGGCTGTGGGCAGCAAATATCACCTCCCTTATGGCAGGAAGGTCCCACCTCACCTTCCTCAAAAGGCTCCCCCCACCGGATCCCAAAAGCAGGAAGGAAAAAGCAAAAAGATAACCCCAGAACTAAACAAAAGACACAGGACCCCTGAAATTCCAGGCGTTTCAAGGCCTCTTTAAGTTCACTGTGTTGGTTGGTTGGTTTTTGGCATCTTAATATATATATATCTATGTATATATATATTTATATATATATTTATGCATTTTAAACAACTCCTCGGACTCTCAGTAAAAGCTGCTTCTCATGGGGGTCTTGTCCCATCCCATCCTTCCCTTCCTCCCTCAGTCCATCCCACATACTCTGAAAAGGAAGATTTCAGCACCTGAAACCTGGTGCCTTGCAGACTAGGTCCTGACGTACCCAAAATAAACCAAAACAAAAGAACGACTCCTCTCTTCCCATCCCTTATCCACATCAAATAAAAAGACACCCCCCTCCCTGCCCTTTGAGAACATCCCCTGGTAAGTCTATGTGATGGGGAGACAGCGCCAGCATCCTTCTTCCCGGCCTGGGGTGGAGAAGCTTAAAGAACCATTCTTGCCCCTCTATGGGCAACATCTGCTACACCAGTTACCCACCACGTCCATCCTTCCCACCTCGGGGCCGCACGGTGGCACGGAGACAACTGCTGCGGACAGGCCAGGCAGAGGACCTCGCTCCTGCTGCATCAGCCCTTCAGCGGTACACGCGTCCTCTCGGGACACCTAAACCAAAGCTGACCCTCTGGACAGGCCTGCGCATCAGCCCAAAGGTCCACCTTGCTCTGGAGAAGCTGGGTAACTGCTTTGAGTTTAAAAACGAGTTGACATTGTACAAGTCCATGTTCTGTAAAATGGAACAGGACCCCCTCGTCCCACCCCAACGCCCCCTGCCCCAGCGTTACTCAGGCTCGCTGCTGTTGGTGGTCTTCTCCCACTCCAAGCTCTCCTCGCTCCGTGCGGGCGAGCCCGGAGACGGCCGTGCCCGGAGCCCCTGAAACCTGCGGCACTCGGGGCACACGCGGATGTGCGTGCACCCTCGGGCGACCAGGGCGGCTTCTTGAGCCAGTCTTTGTGCCAGGGGGTCTGGCTCCCCCCCACTGCACAGCTTCCCATTGCTGAGCGTGGTTGTGCTGCGGGCTCGGCGCTCCTCCGGGAGAACGGGGCGAGTCCGTATCATTCCCCCTCGCCTCCGACGAGGGTGGAAACTGTCCTTGCAGAGGATGATGTTGCGCAGCTCCGTCACCATTTCTTGGCACACCGACACCTGGAAGGCAGACCCGAGACATACTGCTCACATAAGTAAGCTGCAAGCCCCAGCAGTGCTGCATCTGCTCTGGATTCGGATGCCAGAGTGGTACGGCCTCAGGTGTTAATCTGACCACTGGGCTTTCAACATCAGTGCTCAGACATTTATGCTTGATTTAGCCCAATAGGTTCCACCTCTCGGTCAGAGACCCTCCTGTGTTTGGGCTCTCCAAATCAACATGAGACCCAGACTTACTGCAGGTAGAAACTGTCAAGTGATCTCTTCTCTAGGAAAGGTGCTTGGACATTGTATGCATCCTTGTTCCCTTCAAAAGCCCTTGGAGCATCCCATAGCCTCAATCTTAGTAGGAATTAATGCAATTTAGACCCTGGCCAATGGACCTAACCTTACCCTCATTAAACTAGAAACGCTTATCTCAGCCTTACTAGCTCCAGAGCACTGCACTGCTGAGCACCCCGCAGGTAACAGTAAACACAGACTATCCCATCAGGACACTTTCAGGCCCTACCTCTGATTGTTCAGAGTGACGAAGGCTCCACAAAAATTCCAGCATTGCCATAAAAATTGCTACGATTAAGCCACAGATGAGCACCACAAAGATTCCGCCGATGTTCTCCATTCCCAGGCCTAAAATAAAGCAGAAGGGACAATGCTGTGAGAGGCAGGCACAACATAAATTGCAAGCATCTTTGCTGGCATTGCATATCCCCAGCCAGGGATCAAAACCACATAGCCAGCACTGTCCTATTAATAGCTAACCGCATGACTCAGATGGCAACCTGAGTGACTTGCAATAACTGCAGGATCGAAGATGCCTTCTCAGAAATGATGATTTTGCAGATAAACAGCAAGTACATTGGTGGGAAGTACAAAGCAATTTGTGGACAAACCGAAAACAAGAGGAAAAATGAAAGATCAATCGGGCACAATTATTCACCCAGCTCTAGTTACTTTGAACTTCGCAAAGGAAGATGAGCCGTGCTAAAGAAGCAGAGATGAAGACAAGAAAGGGCTTTAAAGGAAGCTGGCATCAAGAAAAGCTCCTTTGATTGCACTACAAAGTGCTGGTGAAAAATGATTACAGCTGCTTCTGTTGCAGTAGCAAGGAGAGGTTCCAAACAAGACCAGGATCTAACACTGTTTCACACTGTATGGTGACCAAATGGGGTCCCTGGCACCCAGCGGTACCTGGTTGTGGGGTTGGGTGCTCTGCTCAGCCTTTTCTGGACCATAAGGAGGAAACAGCCCCTTCCATGGGGCAGGGGTGACACAGCCTCAGAGAAACAGCTCTTCTGTGCTTATTGCGTTTGGGTCTCAAGTGGTCTGGGCCCCTGATTCAACTGATCACTAAAAAGCATGTGGTGCTCTGCAGCGAGGTGACTGAGGCCATTACTCAACACAAACATCTATGAAAGTCTTCGTCTCCCCTCTGTAGCATTAAATCAAAGTGTAAGAATCAATGATTTATTGACTTCGTCTCTGTGTGGCTTTTAGACATAGAATCTCACCAAAATCCTTGTAAATCGCTGACCTGTTTTGTTCTAAAACTTAGGAGGCCACATTTCTCCCTCCTCCTCCGTCATTCTCCTGGCACTGTCTCCGGAGCAATCTAGCAACTCTGTAAATCAGCCCTTTGCAGAGCTGTTTCCAACAGGACAGCAATTGCGGGGCAGAAAACACAGCCCATAGTCAGAGTTTAGACCCAAGATAAAAACCATCCTCCCCACCCAGCAGTACTCAATCTGAATTTAGGGCCAGTACCTCCCTCTACATCCTTCTATAATTCTAACCAGGTGCCACCACAGACACCCATTCACAAGCTCACTGAGAGGTATCTCTTTTTTCCATATACACCTAGCAGCAAGGCTGCAGCCTTCCTTATTTCCCAGAGTGAGGAAGTGAGCTATAACACAAAACAGCAGGAAAACTTGCCCAGGGTCACAAAGTGTACTGGGCAATACCAGAAGCAGTCCAGGACCCTGCTTCCCAGTGACCCCTTTTCAAAGCTACCCCAAAGCAGAGCACACACTAGATTCCACTTCAGAGTTGGAACACCTCCACCTGCTGCAATGTCAAGCAAAGAGAAGAGCTACCATGGACCCGGCTTGGCTCTCCATCTCTGCACTAGAGAGGTCAGAAGACTGCCCATTCAACGGGGGGGACCTGTCGGCCCCCCAGCAAATGCTTGCTGTGGAAAGGGTGAGTGCCAACACTAAAACATGCAGCAACTGCATTAAGCTGGCAACTGCTCTCACGCTGGGACATCAGCCTAATGTGGTAGCTTTGATGGAAATTTGCATAGCATTGCAAAAGAATTTGCTCCTCAGTTTACAGATGTACTAATGAAGCCTTTGCATTCCTTCCCCTGGCTGTTTAAAAGGCGCTTTCACTTGGAGCCATTAACCAGCGGGCCTGCGGTGGAGATCCATCTCCCTTGAAGGAACCCAGGATTTTGGTCTGATCCCTTTAGCCATCCATTTTCCCAGACATTCATTAGAAACTAATTTCCCCTCCATATGCCTCCAATATTTGTCATTTGGTTGTTCTCGCTGTCTCTGCCCCAGGCAAAAACACACAGCATGAGGCACAGCAGAGCTGTTTGGCTTTCTCCTTGAATTGTGACGGAATCTCAGGTCAGCACAAGGGGAAAAAGTACTTCTCGGGCAGAAAACCTGGCAGCACTCATGTGCAGATGGACATTCAACCTTGCGCTGCTGGCAAGGATGCTTCGACTGCTTTGTCCTTCCAGCATGCATGTGCTTTACCTTTGGCTCTGTGGTCCTCCTCTTTGGGGCACTTGCCTCCTTCCCACCACTTCCTCTTGAGGATTTCCAACCGGTTGTTCTCTTGCAACTGGAGAATGGCCAGGTCAAACTCATCACGAAACACAGAGCCTGCAACACCAACAGGTAGGTGGTAAGGCACCATCACAGCCAGCCTTCCACCCCACTCGTCCCCATCACGATGCCCTGCCAGTGTGCCCAGGTACAAAAGCTCATCTCTGAATGGTTTGGAAGGGACTTCAGTCCATGTAAGCCCTTGAAACTTGCAGGCTCTCTGCTGGCACTGTCAACTGGCTCATCTCTCATTCAGATGGCAATTTCTCCTGTTCACCAAGACCCATTTAAAGAGGTCCATTATAAGGGAGAGCTTTGGCTTCAGGGGCAGGGTCTGCAGTATCGCACTGCTTATCCTCCAGACCACTGAGGTCCCTTCTCCTGTCAGCCTGCCTCCAGCTTAACCTTGCTCTAACACCTCTTCCCTCAAACTGCTGCACTGCAACAGCAGCAGGTTCACCCTACAATGCAAGCCCTAAGGTTCACGGTAGAGGAGGGCTCACTTCTGTGCTCAGCACCGAGCTGTACTGCAGCCAGGATGATGATCCCAAAGAAGGGCCGTGGGAAAGACCCCAGTTCTCCCAGTAACTCTGCACTATTGTCCCAGCCAGCAGCTTTTCTGCTTTTCTTATCTGCTACAGTTTCACTGTTTAACAAGACAATGTGAGAACAAATTTAGTCCTGAAAGTAAGGATTTGTACTCACTATCAGGTTACTGTGACTTTACAAGCTTATGCATGTTAGCTCAACTATAGTGATTGCTTGAGTGACGGTTCTGATGCAATTCATCTTAACTTTGTATTGCTAAGTGCAGGTGCTTAAAGGTCAGGAACAAGGCTTCCCAAGCCTGTGAGTGGCTGAAACAACAACCCATCGCTTGGAATAACAACCACTAGGTCCTTTCTTTGTGCTCCCCCCCCCCCGGAGATGATGTTCTCTTGCTATCTCTCACATTTAAAAGGCAAAACCCCTGCATTTGTTAAACCTGATTATTGAGATAGTCACTGAATTGCCCAATTCTCTGTCCTGGAGCTTAAAAGAACCACCAGCTGTTAAGAAACTAGAGTTTCAGCAACACTACTTTTACAGCACTTAGATAAAACCAGGAGCACAGAATGAGTCAAAAAACACTGGTTCAAAGAGGAAACAGTCAGAAAAGAGCATATATGCAGAAAATAAGCAGCAATTTTGACACATCTTTCACATTCATTATTTAAAGAGCCACAGTCGCGTGTCACACGGCTCTGGATCGGGGCAGGGTCTCGCACATCTGTTGGGCAATCGCAGTGTATTTGGTTTTCCTCCCGAGGTACAAAAGGACCCTGAGCAGAGCTGTGAGACGTGACTTTGGCTTTAGAGCCGGTTCAGCCTTTCAAACGCTCGGGTCCTCTGCCGACAGCTGAGAAGGACTAGAATTTGTCTTCACTGCCTACCGACGGGCATGCCAATCCCGTAGCCCTTGGTGTCCAGAAGGCCCCCGACCTGCGTGAGGTTGCAATTGCGCTGACGATAATACTCGTTCATGGTGGACTCGAGCAGGAAGGCGTAATTGGAGTTCAGCACGCGCGCGATCCCTTCCTCCGTGCTCTTCACAAAGACGCTGGGCTGCTTGGAGTACATGTAGTTCCACATCCGCTGGTACGTCTGGTAGCGGGAGTTCTGCAGGAGAAAGGGAGCAGCTGAATTAGGAGCATCTTGCTGCGACATAAACCCCACTATAGAAAAGCCAAAGAAGATTTGGTGCCAGATTCCAGAAGGCTTTAGATGCCTAACCTCCACCGATTTCAATGAGATTTAGAGGACCAAATATCTCGGTGGATTTGAGACTTTGTTGGCAAAGCTGGGCATGAAATGCATACCTAATTCCAATGCGTTCCAGCAAAGCTCTCTGCATAATTTCAGTTTTAGAAAAAGACATAGTTTCCATAACAGTCAAAAAAGCCAGAAGAAATAGCTTGATTTAAACCACCAAATGCCCCCCATCCTATTGTCTGTCACTGGAACTTCGTGTTTAACATATCACCAGCATCAGAGCCAGACACCATCACCTTAAGAAACGCACTGAGGATGGGTGCAGCACCAAAGAAGTTTGTTGCTCCCTGAATCCAGATTCTGCCCTTGTGAGGCAAATCAAAGTACCTGCTTAAGAGAATTGGAGCCTTTTTGCTGACTACAGTAAACTGAAGCTCAACCAGTCCCAGATCCTCAGACTCGGCTGGTGGTTGATTGAGAGAAGAGCTAATGATTGTTAACATCTCTTGCCTGTGCTGAACAAAGAGTGAAACTTGCTGGCACAGAAACTGAGGATAAACACACTGTGGTCTACATAAGGAGCTTCTGAATTTGCCCCTTTCCCCCTGCATTTCTGCAGCACACAGAACCTCTTACACCACCTCCCCTCTCAGCTAAGAGAGGTACATGACATTAGGGTTTGTAAGGGTTCATTTTCTGTGGCTGGTGAATGATGCTGGAGAGCCTCAGGGAATCTGCTGCTGACCCAGTTACCGTCCTCATCCATCCAGCTCTGTCCCCCTTGCACTAGGGCAAGGGACAGGCAAACAGAGACAGTGTTCCCGATTCACTGCACCTTTAAACCTTAATCCTGTGTGTTGGTGTCAGGGGAAACAGCTGCCAGGACAGGTTACAAGACAAGGTGCTCCAGCAGTGGATATATATCTCATGCAACCAGGAACTGAGGGCTGGTGAAGACAGCCTCAGCCATGCTGGCTTAATCCATCACTGTATTTGACCCACCATTATTACACCAGAGGTAAATGGATCCCAACATAGTTTAAAGCACTGTGAATGGTACAAGAATACCTTTTGCTGATTCCTCCTCTGCTATCAGCAGCTCCATCACCCTCAAGGCAGCACAGAGCCACAGACAGGATTTGAAACCAGAAAGCCTTCCCGAAAAGAACTAAGCGAGTGCCTCGTAGACAACCACCATGGTCACTTGGGCTCTGTTCAGCTCATTTCAGATATAATGTTCTGCTTAAAAGTAGCTTTTTGCCAAAGCCTTGGAGGGTGCAAAGCTGGGTTGAAAAGCTCAGGCTCACTTGAGAGATTTCTCAGGCATCCAAATACAGTTCAGACTCAGAGCAGGGAGAAAAAGCGAGCAAAGCTTTCTCTCCTCTTGGAATTTCAACAAGTAATAAATAAATAATCCTCAAGCAGCTCTTTGTGCATTCAGAGCACAGCAGAGAGGATTCACTCCTTTATTTCCCTTCTGAACAGAGCAGGGAAGACAAAAATTACATTGGGCTAAATGGCTCGCTTAAGTTTGCATACACTTGGCTTTTCTCAGTGTCACTGACCACATGCAGACTGCCAGCACTCTGCCTGCGGTGTGCAAACATTGCTTCGCTTACCTAACCAGAGGTACTCTCATACAGAAGCTAGGAGTACATCAAAAACACATAAAGACCCATAGAAATTGGACTGCAAATGCCCATCTGCCAAAGACCCTATTATACCACACTGTGACACAGGGATTCGTGCCGCTCTTGCACCCACTTGGTGACACTCCCAGTGCTAAGTTGCTGTCTAAGTCTAAGCACCACATCCAGGCATCAGCAGAGGTCCTGACCCTAGTCAGCCAGCATCCCAAGAGCACACCAGGATGCTGTGTTACAGCATCCTGCATTCCCTGTCCTCTGCCATGCATCCCCCACCATTCATCCCATCATTACCCACTGTGGCCAGGGGTCTCTCTAGAGGTCCCTCCTGTGCCAGAAGCAGGAATGACAACGTGGGGGGACATCCAAACGTGATTAAAGGGTGCCCTCTGCCCCAGTTAGCAAATGAATGGGGTTTACTTGGAAGAAGGTCATGCTGGAGCCGCCGTGAATGGTGCCGTACTCGATGGCTGTCTGGTCAGCCAGGTCATCCACGGATTCGATGGGGACATCCATCCGCTGCACGGTGAGGAAGGCTGCCAGATTGGCAGTGTAGGAGGAGATGATGATCAAGGTGAATGCCCACCTAGGGAAAGCAGAAGCAAAGTTGGTGAACTGAGATTCCCTGTGGACTGATCCCCATCCCCACCCTCCGCCTGCTTCTGCCCACAAAAGACCCACACAGAGAAGCCTTCCTTAAGAGAAGGCCTGATCTTACCACACTCCACTGACGCAGCGGGTGGATAATGCTTGGGGGGCAATGGTGGAGCCCTGCTGCATGAATCCCCCGACTGGAAACCACAAGCTGTTGCCCAGAGAGTACTGATTCACGAGAAGATTGCATCTACCTTGTGAGCAGGGGTGGGGGCTGTACCACTCATAGGGTGTCAACCTGAAAGGACAAGAAATGGGTAATTCCCTGGGAAATGGGGCACTTTGGAGAAAAGAAGCCAAAACAAGAAAGAAGAGCTGTGAAAAACCCTAACTCTCCCGGAGGCAGATATTGCTGAGGAGGAAACTCTTTGCTGTCAACTGATGCCCAGGGCTCAGCGCTGTGTGAAATGCTTGCTTTAAGATTCAGAAGCCAGAGGCTTTCTTGTTAAGATTTGCAAGAGTTTCTAAAGGCTCTGCTGAAAACCTGGGCATGGGCTGTGGGGAGGCTGGAGCCCTGTGTGCAAACCCACAGCGCAGACATCCACAACCATCATTGCAGGTGTGCCTGATGTGGAACTGAAATCAAACACCTTCGGCTGTGCTCCCGGCTGCAGAATGAGCATCAACGGGAAGTTCAAAAGGGAAGCGTGTGAGACCTGAATGCATGACACCATCAAGATAAAGAACTGCATCGGTGCAGATGGCTGCTCTGAGAAGGTCTGACTGCCTCAGCGAGGTCTAGGTCCCAGTTTGAAGCCAAGTGCTGGTGTTTCAAAGCATCACATGCTTTCAGTGCTCACAGGGACAGGACAGAGGTGGCAATCTGAAATAACTGACAGCCTGTCACTGAAGTGATGGCAGCCTAGCTCTCTTTTTGTGCTGTTTCCAATCCTCGGTTCCCTGGTTGCTAAGAAAGACTTCTAATTCCTATGCTGCATTTCATTATATTGCTAATGGTTAACAAAACTGGTGCCTGGGAGGGTCATTTTAGGGATATTGCCAATACAGCTGTGTGGCTCTGCCAGCCTACACGCCATTTAACCAAATGTGATGCTCAGTTTCATTTCTGCATCTCCTACCGCACTGTGATGCCAGGTTATGTCTCCAAGACTTCCTAAGGTTGGAGCAAGCACTGGCAGTAAAAACCACTGCTCTAGGAGAGTCTGCTGCAATTCACAGGGTCACAAGCTCCTTACTGCTGAGCAAAGCAAGAGAGCAGCATCCAAACCTCCATCTCCAGTAGGAAGCTGTGTAAAAGCACCTTTTTGGAGCATCATGTTTAAACCAAATGGAGGAGGTTAAAGAGGCACCAAATCTCAGCCTGCAGAGAGTGCTGGACCGCATTATTCAATGGTTTCTTCAGAACTATGTTCCTGGGGCTGTAATGGCATTCGAAGAAACCATTAAAACCTTGTCAGGATGACAACTTTAGCCATGCTAAGGGACTGTGTGACAGCACAGTTCCAATTTCTGTAATGAGAATTGGGTATTAACTGTGTCCCGAAAGAGCCGTCAAGTCCTGAGCGAGTCTTTGGTACACATAGCCAGGACACAGTTCAGTTCTGCCTGGAAAGGGATCACCCATCTATGCCACCAACCACAAGCAGTTTGTTAGGAGGACAGGGAGAACAGCAGCAGAGCACAGACCCTGGCCTTGATGGGAGACACGCTGCAGACAAGCACTCGGTGATTTATTTTAAGGCTGATTTAAATTAGTCATAGAGAAGTGGAACTGAGAGCTGTCAAGTGAGGCTCTGCACATCAACCAAGAGGCTGCTGAAAGATATTAATGAACTTTCCTTTTCTGTACACATGGGGTTTCACAGGGCCACAGGAACCGAGCATCACTACTGGAACCTGCATTAGTGTCTCTGACTCCATTTGCCAGCCTCCTTCAAGGCAAGCAGTTGGTTTAGGTGTCACAGATCAAGCATTTACAGGGAGCAGCACCATTTGAACAGCATCAGCCTTGCTCCCAAACCTCCTCCCACCCTTCCTATACAGCTCTCAGCACTGGCACACACTGCTGTGGCCAAGAACACTGCTGAACCACGGCATGATGCTCCTGTCCCTGCCACACCAGCAGACATCCCGGTGGCCTGGGGGATGTCCCCGTGTCCCCCTGACCATCCCCTCACTATGATCCCCCCCCCGGGTCTGGGAGCATGACGCTAGATGGCACCGCGAGGAAGGAAAAGGCACCAGCAGGCACATTACCGAGCAACCAAGAATAGGACACAGCTGACGGCCAGGTAGGCGAGCAGCATGAAGAGCCAGACACCAGGGGAAAAGGGATCCAGGAATGAGAAATAGCCAGGTTTGCGGCCCTGGAAGGGAAACAGAAAGGAGTTTGTATTGTATTTCTACAAATCCCATAGTCGATGCTGACGATGGATGGGAGCAACAGAAGGGAAACGAACAGGGCTTTGCAAAGACAAACAGGTCACTGTGAATGCATCAAACAACCAAGTCCTGCAGCATCTCCCTGTTGGAATTCATCTCCTGAGGCTATTTTTTTTCACCATCTCGACTACTTTAATTCCTGCAGGTGAACTGATGGATAAATCAGGACAATCACAGCGCTTTGCCCTCCTCATGGTTCTGCTGGATGTGCTGGACCGCATCCAGAGCCTAAGCAGGCTGCGTTCCCTCGCCTGGTAGAGCACGACTGGGCTCGGAGGTGGGAGGGATCCTTTGCACGAAGCAGAGTGGGGAGAAAGTATTTTTGGGCAGGAAAAAGAACATAAAAAGAAGCGCCTGCAACATTTCTGGTTCTCTTTTTTTGGTCCTCGGAATGTTTCTTCGCCACAAAACTCAATACAATTATTACTTTTATCTCAGGGAATGCGGTATTTTTATCTCTGGGATGCGTCAGTTTCCTGGTTGTTCTCAGCAAACCACCTTTCCTTGAGAAGTAAGGCTTCGGTGCCAGAAAAAACAAGTTAATCTTTGCTCAAAGCACCTTAAATCTGCATGAGGACACCGCTGCCACTGCTGAAAACTCATCAAATACAGCAGAATTTGGGCAAAAGCAGGATTCCTTTCTGGAAGTTTCTTAACAGCTGAACACTTCCCATGTGGGTGAGTGTGCTTGTCCCATCCCCACCAGCTCTGCACACACAACACAGCCTCCTGCAGGGTGGAAAGAGCAGCACTAACTTACCTCCAAGCACACTCAACACCACCACAGGGGACAAGGGGAGACGTAAACGGAGCCACAGGTCTAAAGCAGTGCTCTTTTGCTCTCAGTGCCATGCAATGTACATCATCTCTGTGGAGCACAAAGTGCTTTGTTCCACTGTGCACCCGACATGGCTCTCCCACCCTGAATGTTGCAAATATTCAGGCAATGCTCATATACCTCAGGCATCTTCTTCCCTTCCCATCTCTTCGGCAAGCAACCTCATATAAATCCCAGCATAAGGCTAAATATCCCAGCAACAGCATGTAAATCACAGCATAGGGCTAAAGGCTTGCATTAACCTTGGGAAATTATGAGCCCTTAATTCACAGGAGCCTCTATCTTCTGCCCCAAACCACACAGTCAGTCCTGGCATCCCAGAACCTCAAGGTCTATGGTTTCCCCAAGCACCTTCAACCAGGGAGCTGCCCATGAGTCAGAGCTCTTGCAAAGGCTTTTACTTGTAAAACCAGAGTGGAAACAGCCTTTTATCACATCTTGGCCCTTTTTTCCTTCCCCAGACTCCCCCCAGACCAGCACTTTAAATGCCATTCCCATCAAAACACCGAAGCATTCCGAATCTTATGCAAAACCTAAATTTCACAAGGTCTTGGTAGTTCTTCTAAAGACCAAGTTGTTGCTAAAAAAAGGCAACAGTTGTTGCCCAAAAATCTTCCTTTACTAAAAAATATCTAGGATACAGTGATATTCTCAGCTGCAGCCACCAGCTGGGACTGTAGCATCTCAAAAAGCTTCTACAGGAAACACCGTACCATAACATCCTCTCCCTGTATCCTTAAGGACAAGATGAGTTTGGGATCTATGTTACCAGTTTTCCAGAATCTGGCTTATTAAGCCTTTTAACAAATAGATGAGTTGAGGCTGAGCTACCTCTTCTCTTCCAGAGCTGTTTACATACTCAAGAATGAAATAAGGCAATGGGAACCTGCAAGGTGTCAAGGGCACCATCTGCCCTCAGATGAGCAAACTGGAGCTTCTCGAGCAGAAGATGATTCCAGGTGGCTTATCCCTCTCCAGCATCCCAGAGCTGGCAGGAAACTCCCCGGCACTGGCAATGCCTTGGCTGAGGCTCCCCTGTGAGATGCTGCGGTAACAAAGTTCATTTCTGTAATTAAGGCCTCGATGTCTTCTCTCTGTTTCTGGGGCAGTTTGTCAATAAATTACACTCATTAAGGAAATTGTGTTGGAAGCTTTAATTCTCAGGCTTGGCAATGACTCTCTCCTGTAACTGTACAGTAGTAGTAGCTCTGGTTCTCTTCAGCTACAGTCATTTTCAGGCTGCTGCTACATATCCTTTTCATTCACAGTTGTGGATAAGAATAAAGATATTCTGTTCCCACGGAGGGCACAAACTCTCTCTTATCTGTCTGTTTTGAACATGGGAATGACAATATCTGGAGTCTGTCAGATATTTTTAGCTGGTCCCAGTACAGCTTTGTTAATTGGAAGAGCTATTTTTCTTGGAATAGAAATGTTCAAAATGCCCAATAATTGATGAAGGCCTCCTGCAAATCCTCAGATGAAAGCAGCAGAGATTTATTTACCACCCTCAGTCACTGGAGATCTTCATTTTCAGCCAGAGAGAACTGGTTTTCTGAGCAGATACAGGTGACCAAAGAGCCTGAATGTGCAGCACATCCAGGAAGAGGAGGAAGTGGAGCTATACGGCATGGTCATGGATTTGTCTGTGTTCAGGCCTCTAAGATGCTTCATGGACTCCCTGCCTGGCAGATGGTTCACAACCAACAGGCCAATGCATACCATGGCCCAGGGAATGCCTGGGGCCAGCAGTTGCTCCCATCCCTGCTTCAGTGAGGCAGAAGCTTGTTGGCAGAGCAGTATGGGTTGTCAGGAGAGGTGCTCAGCTCCTCTGCCTTGGCTGTCAAGCCTCCTCTGGCTTAACTAAAGGAGCTATTCATCCAGTCCTTCCCATTTTGTGTCTTCCGCAGCAATCAAGTAGAAACAGTTTAAGCATCAGTTCACTTGGCCTAAATTCACCTATTCCAATGTACTCACCAAACCTAACATTTTTCATACAGACTTTAAGGGGATTATGAGCCAGCATTATGTGGGAGCCAGCCCCTTGTTCCCTGCCAAAGAGGCAGGTATGTGAGTAAAAGCATGTGTATGCTACAAATAAACCTGACTTCCACATCCCTCTGTGCAGAAATGGGCACCTGATTTCAGCTCTCTGCCAAGCAGAGTAACTGCTCAGGACTCACCTATCTCCTGCTTTCCATAGGTCCCACCAGCTGGTCAGAATGGGGACATAATAAGAAGCAAGCAAACCTTTTCCTTTAGCAGCCTGCAAGTCAGAGAGCCCATTAGAGTCCCCGTGTTCAAAATCCATACTTGATTATATCACAACAAGTGAAATTGAGAAAAATGACAGCCCCATTTAAAGCTGACATATTTGGTTATGTGTGATAAGAGACACAGGCACCCTGGTGACTGAGGAGGAGAAAGGGGGGACAAAATCACTTGCCACTGGAGTAACATGGAAATTAAAGTAAATGTCATCACACTGGGAGGAGACCAGGGTGTGGAGACAAGAAATGTATTTGTGGTTATTCATTAGGCTACACTTGAGCTGTGCTGTGATTAACGTGTGTCAGCTGCAATTTTAGACATTGAAGAGATGTTTGTTGGGTCAGGAAGGGAAAGGAGGAGATAGGAGCAGATGGGGGTGTCTTGTGCTGCTCTCCAAACCACATCCTTATAGGAAAACCAGAGCAATTGGCTATCTTGCCTCTCCTTGTTAAATAAAGACCAGTTTCACAAGTTAATAGCCACACAGCTCAAACACTCTTCCTCAAGCAAAGGAGGAAAGGTCTGGACAAAGACCTGAGTGAAGTGCTGGAGAGAGAAGGGGAGATGTCCCTGCTGCCCCTGCCATCACTCCTCATGGCCTTGATGCAGCAAAGAAGGGCTCATACGAGGTGACACGACCTGGGAGATGTGCAGCATCCCCTTTAGAAGCCTGCCTGGGTCACTGGGCAGCAGTGTCCTAACTGGGTCCTTCATCATGCAGCTGAAGACCAAGTCCTGACCAACAGCAGGGAATTATTTGCCTACACTTCTTAAGAGTAATTATTAACCCTGTTCGGTTTGGTGAACGCCTGAAGGGCAAAATGGAACATGGCTGTGATGCTTCATTCTGGTACCAGTTTGAGCAGCAGATGGTCCCTGCCCTGAGGAACTTACACTCCAAGTAGATGCATCAGACACACTTATACTGGCCTCGCACAGAGGCAGCAGCAAATGCTTTGTACTTATAGAGCAGATCACATGCAAACCCTGTGCCAACACTCCTGTGTTTCCTCTGAAGGGGGCAACATCAGCATCATGTTGTTCAGGGAATGATGCCTTGTTAAGGGACGTGCTGAAGGTTATGGTGTAAAGCAGAGGCAGAGCACGCAGGGTACTCAATCCCCAAACTTTACTAATGTATATGAAAAAGCAAGAAACTCAAGTATAATCAGGCAAAGAAACCTCCTTGGAGTTGAAGACTCTGACCCTTTTTGATCTATTAAATCATTGATGCTAAATTCTGCACATACCAAAGGAAATGCAATTTGAACCAGCTTTTAATTACGTGTTTATTCCTGGCAGCAGCCCCTCGGCACAGGGATGCATGCACAAGTTTGTTTATGCCCATATCCAACACTGCATCCTTCCGAATGGAGGGGGTGGCTGGAGAGGCAGCTTTAATGGTTTTACCCTTTTGGCTGCTATTATTGAGCTGATGGGGAACCAAGACTCTCTTTCGCATCACACTCAGCACTGTAGAGCGTGTTGGCAGACTGTGGATTGGGAATAAGAAGACATCCTGTTACAAAGGACCTGGCTGCCTGAGCTCACCTCCTGTGATAGCAGGGAACCAGGGTCTTTGTGTGGCCCATATGGGGGAAATCTGTCCGCTCCTGAGCTTCAGGAAGAAGCTGGAACAAACAGAAAACGGGAGTGCAAGAAAATCTATTGGAATTTAAGACAAGTGTTGCCTAAGCAAAGACAAGACACAACATCACGTATGTGCTTCCTCTGCTCTGAGCCACAGCCACCACGATGCCTGACCTGCCTTTCGGGTGGCAGCGCCCAGCCACACCACTGCTGCTACTGGATAGCAAGAGATTATTGAATGCAAGCGGAGCAATAACCAGAGCCAGTTGCTAAACAACAGCAAGCTCCCTTCTCACTCCTTCCTAGCCAGAAGCAAGGGGGCCTGAAAGCACCCGTGCACAGCAGAGAGCATCCTAATTGCAAGGAGCCTTCCCTGGGCAGAACCTACTGATCTTTAGCATGAACAGCTGAGAGGAGGCAAATAACAAGGGTTGAGGGCAGAGCAACAGAGCCCGTGCAGGGCAAGGAGCTAACTGTACATAGCAGCGTTCATCCCGCTGTGTGCCTTCTCCAGGGCAGTGCCCTGGGCCACTCAAGGAGTGACTTTTTCCCTTTGCCTGCTTGTGATGAAGAAAGCAGAGCACCAATCTGTGTGTAGAGCATCCACAGGAGGTCACAGCTGAGAAAGCAATCCTAGGTATCTTCCTGGCCTGATCTTAGATGAGAGAAGGCAGCAAGGCTGCACACCGCAGAGGCTGGGAACACAGCTGAGATTAGGACATTTAGGACCAGGGCTTTTGCTCATGGTCCCCCAGGAAGTGCTGTATGGGAAGAGGAGGAAGCAGAGCCAGCAGGGATGGGGGATTCGAACAACAGGAATTGAATTCACCAAGCCGATACATGGCAGAAAGAAGAAAGAAGGAAATAAAGGTCAAGCACATTTGCGCTTCATTAAGAAACCAAAGCGTTTTTATGAGTCATTCATTTTTCTTCTATATCTCGGCACACTCGCATGCAAATAATGGCAGGACACAAATGGATATAAAATAAACCTCTTACCATATGAACTCGGTAGAGAATGCTAATTCCCAAAGTCATGAATGGCTTCGAGAAATCAATCACCTTCTCCCGCTCTGCGGTTATGGTCAGCCCCGCCACGGCCAGATCGGCTTTCTGGAGAGAAAGGAGAGCAGAGAGCATCAGGAACCCTGAGCCTGGGAAAGCAGCAGAGCCCTGCCAGGGCCACACAGGACACCCGCTCCTGGAGGATGGATGTCACATCCTTGGGAGGGTGCGTTTGTTGTAGGGCAAACCCGAGGCTCCATGGGAACAGCGCATTGTTGGTGATGCCCACTAGTTGAGGCTGTGCTCCCGCATCCCTCTCCCTGGGTGAGTTTCGCATAAGCCCTGATCAAACACACTCCGAAGTTTAACTCACCTTGTGCTCCAGACTGTTCTCCTCATTTCCCCTTTCCTCACATGGGTGTTTTTAGACTTGAAGGTTGGAAAAGCACCAAGCAACCAGTAGGGAGCCCGCTGGGCTTAAAGCAAACAGAATGGTAACCCCTGCCCCAGGTGCTCACAGCCTGATTGCCATTTCAATTAGTTAAATGTGTTAAGACCTGGCAAAGCAGGAGCCATCGAGACAATCACTAGTGTACCAATCTGAACAAGATAAAAGCTCCCCCTTCCAAAGCCCGTTGACCACAGCTGCCCCCTTCCAGCCAAGAGTGTTACTTGCAAGCACCATAGGTAGGACAGCATAGCAAAGCAGCATCATTCCCCCCCATAGCCTGAGCTTACAAGCCTGCTGGCCCTTACTTCCATAATTGCAGATGAGCCTCCAAAAAATTCAGAGGACTGGCATAAGATTTTCCAGAATGACTTGCAAAGCAAATGAGATTAGGGGGAAAAAATAGACAGAATTTCTTCCAATGTTAATACCCTTGTAATATAGATAAGGGATTTGAATTTTAAATATTATTTTTATTACTGTAGCTCTTTTAATGTCTGTAATTGCTTTCTGTCAAAATTTAACCTTCTCCCTTCCCTTCGACATGTGCTCGCCTGCTTTGCAGGATGGTGATTCTACAAGGGGAAAAAGAGAAGGGGAGGAAAAGAAAAACTATCTGTACTTGTGGTCCTTAAGTTTCATAAGGTCTGTGCGGAAGCCAAGGCACCATCAGCACCAAAGACCCGGCAAAATAAGGACCTTATCTCCCTGTATCCATGCACCACACAAAGGCACATCTGCGGGTGCATCACTCTTACCATGCTCTCTGACCCTACTGCTCTTGCACGACTTCACTTAAGAGGACTGATACCCTCCCAGCAGAGCTTTGCTTTCCCACCTCTGCCCCCACCAGACTCAAAGGCAGGGCCAGTGAAAGGCTGGAGCTGCAAAAGGGAAGAGCAGCACTGCTGGAGCCTGCAGGATGAAGGGAAGGGAAGAGAAAAGAAAGGTCTTCTGCAAGCCTGCCCCGTGGTGATGAGGGGGTCATGGGGAAGGTGATATTTCACAGTCCATGCAGGACTGCTTTATTGGGCAAGCTCAGTGCCAGATCTCTGCAATTGTTGCCAAGAAGCTATTACAGATTCCTAGGAGGTTCAGGCTGCAATGAATTACGAGCTAGGGAGAATTTCTGCCTAGCCAGACATTTACCCACAGGGTTTTAAAAAGGCACCAATAATCATAATGTGGTGTGTGAGCAGTTGAGCCTTGTGTAAACACCAGCAGGTTACTAAAATGGGATCGGTTCATCTGTGGACCATGGCACATGAGGGATTTTATCCACAAAGAGAGCCTAAAGCTTCCTAAACCACTCTTATCTATACTTAAAAGGGTTTGCAGGTACTATTGTCCTGGGGAGAGCTCTCCTAGGAAAGACCCTAGAATGCAGCTTATTCTAACAGATGTCTTCCCCTAGTTCTCCAAACAGAATACAGTTCAACCAGCAAAGCTGCAGACTAAATAATGGTAAATATGCGACATCAAAAGCGTGTCATGCAAATGCTCCAAGGACATTCCCATTCCCACCCAGAGGCCAACACAAAGGTGCTGCTGAAAGGAGCAGTGTGGCCCCCAGGTCTACCCAGCTAAATCACCATACCCTCATAGGTGGGATGTGGTTAAGGAACTTTCTGCACCCTGGTTATTCCCCTGCTACTGTCCTTTGGGACCCTTCCAGACCATGTAGGCAGCAACATCTTGAAAGCTGCTCTTCCCTATGCAACATAGAATGCAAAGCCATCCCAATCCCTTTGCCTACGGAGCAGAAACAGCGCAGAAGGGCTGCCTCCCCTGGGGCACACAGGTTTTGTGCCCAGGCCCCTTCTCTTTCTTCCAGAGGGTCCTCCCATGCCATCAGAGCTGATTTCCTTATGCTCATTCCCTGCTTGGTCAACTTGAGTCCCCTTCAGGACTTATGCCAGCATCATAGCTTACAGCCTGCTCTAACCTGTGCCCATGCACATCTTCCTTCTCCTGTGCCCTGTGCTAGAAACCTGGCTCCTTGTGGCTTTAGCTGTGCTCTGTTAAAGACTCCCTCACTCTCTCTGCAGGCTCAGAAGTCATGCAAGTTAAGAGCCGATTCCTGACAGCCATAAACTTTGATCTGGGAATGGCAGGCAATGTATTCCCTGCCTGAATAGCATCCATTTCATGCTTCTACTTTCCTTCCTGATGTTAAGCAAACTTCTTGTGATTCACTGAGGTCAGTGTATCTTAGTTACAGGAGCTCTGCCAACCCGAGTGCTCTCCAGCCCTCCCCACCTGAGCATGGGTAGGAGTTGGCATTTTATAGACTGAACAATGCATTGAGGAAGAAAAGGATTTTGCTTTGTGCTTCTGAATTCTGTCCACAGCTGAGCCTCGTGGGGGGAAGAGAACAGGAGGAAAAGGATGGGGGGAAGAAGGGGCAAACCCTGCTTGATTTTCATCCTTCCAGCACAGTTGCAGCTATAAATGTCAGTGTGAAATAGGCTTAGAAAAAGACCCAGAGCATTTTGGGACTAGAGACAGACACTTCCTTAACAAGACACCGCTTAAACAAGCCCAAACTCTCAGTAGGTAAGAGGACGCCCCGGTGGGCTGTTGGTTTGAGATAACAGCATGAGGTGCCACCACCACACCTGCCATTAACCATGGGATCAGGCTCACACTTCACTGTAAAGGATGCTAAGCCCAGGGGCCAAGCTGGACTCCTAAAGAGGAACAATCAAGCAGCCTTAAGAAGCAAACTGCAGGGACTGCCACAGTCCAGAGGAGGCAGCTGCCTCCCTGCTGCAGGTGCTGACAAGGCTCATCTCAGCACTAATGGTGATGAATGGGGTCTGATGTCAGCCCGGGTAGAGAGGATCCCACCGAAGTCTCCCACGGCACAGGCTACCAGCCGGGAGACCAGCCCTGCTCCAGCCCCACAGTGATTCCCAACCTCCTGTCAAGCTACGGACACAAAACACAGTGAGAGTCCCAGTGGCAAAAGGCTTTGGGCTGTCTCTGTGTGAGAAACATGGAAAACAAACCTGAAGGACAGCTCTGGGAGCATGAGGCTCTTTGTGGAGCAGGAATCCCTGACTTGAACAGCACATTGGATGCTACATCCCCTGGGTACCCATAAGAGCATCATTCTCACCAGTGCTGCCCATGAAAGCATGACCAAGGTTAGGGAAAGCGATTTCTTACACTGCTTAAAGAGCCTTCTGGAAAGCCAAAATCAGTGTTCAACCTTCAGGACCCACCTGAGCACACAGCACAGCAGTTTGGCTGCAGCCTGCAGCAATGACAGAGCAGTCTCTCTGCATCTGCAGATCTGTCCCATGGCACAATGAGTACAGCTCTGCCACCGGATCAATGTACTGATTGCTTCCGCTCCAACTGCCCATCTGATTTGACAGGAGCTATTTTGGGTAATGCAGCTCCTACTGATGGAGCCAGGTTGTGCACTCAGATGCATGTTCTCGCATTTCAAAGCAGGGCCAGAGGAGGGTCACTCAAAACCAGTGTTTGAATTTTCCTTAAGGACACGCATGATTTCCGACACATGACAAGTGACAGCCTGCAAACCCTGGAGGCTGCAGCCCTCCACTTCAGCCACAGCCAGCGATGAGAGTCAGCAACCAGTGCAGATGTCAGCCTCGGGTCTGTCTTTATCCACCTTTCCTCACTTGGGTGGGAGGAAAACATCTGTGCAAGGTATTCACCATGCCCATAGCAAAAACCAGTTAAGGTGAAGCACAAAGGGATGGGGAACAGCAAGACCTAACCAGCTCCCACACCTCCCTGCTTCCCACCCTCTTAAGCCCCCCAGTGTCACATTTGCCAGCACAATAGTGTGCATACAGACTCCCCCTCCCTTCACCCACACATAGCTTTTCTCTCTGAACACCCACTGCCACGTGGAGAGCAGGACTGCCAACTGTGAACTATCTTCTCCTTCCTGCCCTTCCCCATCTTTGGAGCAGTCGAAGGGAGAGTGCCTCTGATTGTAAAACACCACCTTGTCACCAGCAAGGAAGCTGGGAAAACCATCATCCAAAAGCTTTAAGGTCCTTGCAGTTCTTGTGTTGCTGCTCCCGAGGCAGGACCCTTCCATGAGATGGACAGCTTCATCTCCCTCACTCTAAAACCATCTTGGATCAAGACTGCTGACTTAGACACAGAAGACACTACAGCTCTTCCCCAAATCCCAGCCCCCCTCTGCCTTAGCTCTTAATTTGCTTTGTGAGCAGGTCGATAAGATATGTACTGGTAAATTTGGGTCAACAACAGATTTATGTTTATATAGCATCCTTCTCAATCATATCATAGCTCACAATTAGCTGTAATGCAATTTTCAGCACTTAAGAATAAATCAATAGCTGGTTAATTTAGAAGCAATAAAATGAAACACTTTCCCCATATAGCCTACAGTTGCTCTGAAGAGATTCAGTGCCACTAGAAGGGATTACAGAGGAAAAAATAATACTGGAAAGGTATCGCACGGAGCTGGATAATTGTCTGACCTTCTGGTCCTGCACACCAAGCGCACATCAGACAAGTCTTATTTTCTGATCAGTGCAAAGGAGGAATCGCTTCCCTATAGTAATACAGCACTGCAGAGAGAGATAGATGCAGAGCTTTTATTTTGTGTAGGATTTGGGAAGTTTGTGTCCCAGCTGATGTCCTCTCTCTGTGCTAAAGAATGCATGGAGGAAAGGGGCCAGGGGATAAATCCACTGAAAGAGCAGTGTGTGCGCAATCGGATGCGCTGGCTCTTCTGCTTTGACCAGTCCTCAAAGCAGGATAGGGGATGAACAAGGGGCTGGAACAAACCCCTTTGGGGGCAAACTGTCAAGGAAGGAGAGGAGCCCCTTTGGCTCAGAAATGGCCTCAGAAAGCAATATCCCAGGCAGCCCTGAATAAACACAACAGCACGCACACGGCCAGCTCTGTCCTCACTGACCTGATCCAAAGTGCCAGTCCCTGGGACTGATCAAAAACTTGCTGAAGCCATTATAAAGACTCTAAAGGGCCTAAGAAGAGCAAAGCAGGGAAAGCTTTGTCTGTTCTCCAGCTTTTGATTTAGCATCACACAGGCTTTGCTAGCTCCACACTGCTGAAGCAGAAATGAAATCCTCCTAAATAAGGCTCGAGCTGCAGAAGAAACAAATGGTTTCCATGCGAAGATGAAGTTAAAACACTTAGCACTAAAGAAAAACAACCCTCCAGAAGCTCCCATTTAATGGAGAGGCACTGCCAAGGTTAGTAGGCCAAAAATCTGATGGCTGTTCCCTTCCTTTGTTTGCACAGATCACACGCTGCTCTTTGCGCCTTCCTTCTTGCCTCCCAAAAGAAGCATTGCAGAGCAGTAATTGTGCGTGTGTGTGTGTATACACACACAGAGAGACATGCATAAAAACTATGCCAATAGCCCCCAGCACTTTCAAACAACCTTGCAGAAGGCTTTTTAGTAGAAGCAGATGGAGGTGTGATCTCGGCTGGCGTCGGGAACTATCATTCCATTGGGGAAAGGCAAGACAGGAGGCAGTGTGCTAGCTCAGGAGGGATCTCCAGTCCATACCATGCCCTGAGTCTGGCCCTTAGAAAGTCTTTTAGGCATTGAGCTGTTCCATCTGACTTCAGGTTAAGCTCCTTAGGTAGGATAAGTGTCAGCCATGTCCCTCTGGCCATCTGAAAAGCAGCAGACAGATGCTGGTGGGCATCTCCTAGAGATGCTCGCTCATCTCTGCAGCAGGGAGGAAAGCAGGAGCCCCAGAGCCCTGCCTGGAGCCACAAGGGGATGGATTGGGGCCCTTATTCCTCCACTTTGCAGGAGGACATGCCACTGTTGTGAGGATAACGATGGGGTGGCTCAGAGGCTCCTCTCACACAGTGGATCATCATGGATACACCTCACTGTGGATTTATCACCAGCTGAGAAACTATCACTGGGCTCTCACAGGTGCTTCGGTTGTAACATGGCAGGGTAGAAATCGGTGAGCAAGGAAGTATTAGTTTAAATAACATCGATCTTAATGTTAGCTTTAGCTAAGCCTATTTTACTAAGGATCTTGGAGCATTTTGTGAGCTGTATTTAAGCTTCAGGATCCCTGGGGAAGGAACACCTTTAACTGCGGAGGAAAACAACGAGCAGGGAGATGGGGACAGGCTGAGCACACACGAACTCAGAACTCTTGTCTAACCCAGCCAATGCATTCAGGTTTCAGCCTAGATGCTGGGTAGCAACACTGCAAAGCAGAGCTGTGAAAGGATCTCAATCCACACACTTAAGCAGACAAAAAAACGTTCTCCAGAAACAATACTCAGAGGTAAGGAGCTGGAATAAATCTGCCCAAACCTTTCTGCATAGAAATGCACTTCTTATTTGCTTCCCTCTGAGTCCTTTACGTGCTGTCACATCAACACCACAAACACATTTGCCATTGGGAGAACACATAAAATGGAGATCCTCTGGTCAAAGACTCACAAGTGGACTAAAACCCCCATCCATCCTTATCACCCTGGAGCACTTAATAGAGCACCAGGGCTTTTCATTGCCAAGTCCCATTAGAGGACAGTTACAAAGAGCAGCTAATTCACTTACCCGAGCAATGAGCTCCCCGACCATCCCTGTCCACGTGCCGTTTGCCTCGGGGACTCCATATACACCATCACCAACGAGGTGGATCTTATAGTTGAAACGCAGGATCTCTGCCAGCTCCTTCAGCATGTCCACGCAGAAGCCCTCATAGCGGTCGTTGCCTTCCAGCTCTTGATGGTTCCACTTCAGCATTAAGTAAGGGTTTTCCTGCATTGAAACTGGGCAGCTGTCATTCCCATCTTAGCTGAGGTATCCCACCAGCACGGCGCCGAGCACAGGGCACAAAGAGCAGGGGCACCCAGGCCAACTTCCAATCCCAAAGTATCCCTCTCAACGAGGGGATAAGAGATGTGGAAAGCTGGTTTGATCACTTGGCAACCCAAGGTGTAAAGCTAACAGAGCCATTTCTACACTGGTAACCACTGGTCCCTGATGTGTCAGGGATATGCTGGAAGTGCACTGGATATACCCCAGTTGAGGATATGAAACAGAGCTAAGGGATCATGCATTGGGGGCTGTTTCCAAATGGGATATGCCAAAGCAGCCCAGCGACTGCTCCGAGTTATGGCAGGACGGACAGATTTCCAGCCTCACTTGGCATACAGCCACTTCTTCAGTTTGTCCCTCTTTTCAACAAACTTTTGGCACTATTTCCTCACATCCCACAGAGCTCTTCAGGATTCTGAGTACTTTTTATGAAGGAGCACTGGGGAAAACCATAGGACAAGCAGCACCTGCAATAAGGACAGTGGTGCCTGCAGATGTGCACTCTTGGTTCATGAAAGTAGCACCCATCTTGGCCAATTTCAGTGATTTTACGGGTAGAAGGGACAATCGTCCCTTCCAACTTACCAGCTGTACACAAAATAAGAACATCATTCCGAGATGAATGTAAAATGGCAACTTATCCCCATCCTAGTCCTCTCCCCAGCTGCTTCTGAACTCATCAAATATCATTTCCATATGAAACATCAACTTGAGTTTAATTACACTGTCATGAATTGTCCTCAGTGCTGTAATTAGAGATTGGATCGTCTGTTCTTTATGAAATCAGTGTTCAACTCTGCATGCTGGGGGCTGATGGGGGTAGGAAGAGGGAATAATATCCTAGCTGACTGACACCTCTGAGCATTGGGATGGCGAAGAGCTAATGGGAACTGTAGGTGACCCCCTCACTTACCAGGATGGTGGTGACAATGAGCGTGGTGTTGAACAGACTGTCTGATATGTTGGAGGAGAAGATCCTGTTGTCCATGCTGAGTCCTTCAGAAACGTGCCAGTGGCCGATCTGGAGAGAGAAAACAGCACAATAAGGGAATTTACAGGGCAAATTACTGTATGCTCCTGCCATATGGCTCTGGTGATAGACAACCATCAAAGCTGGCCCTGGAAGAGGTGCTTCTGAATGCTCCATTAGCTTTACAGTGCACCCCTACAAAAGGCCAGCAGAAAGATTAACACACTGGTGCACGGCCCCAGCACTCCCCCACCAAAATACAGTGCCAAAATCCTGTCCCTTCTCACATGTCCTTGTGTAGCAGTGGAAATGCCCTGCACAGGAAAAAGCCGTGTGATGGGCAGCTCATGGTAGCCAAGCAGCCTTCTGCATTGCCCCCAGGTGCCACCAAAGACGAGTCCATCTTACCCAGGCAAACCTACCTGCAAGCTCATTCCTCCCAGTGAGGTGCAGTTGGTAGTCCCTGCCATCCCTCACACTCACACATGCACTGTGTGTTATGGACACAGCTTGGAAGAACGTCAGGAAGTGCTGAAAGTCCAATTTTACAGTGAAGGCTCAAAACTGAGGGTTCCTGCCCCCAAATTCCTGTCCTGCCTTATGCTGTCTGTGTAACAAAGGTTTCACCTGCCTGAAAGCAAGCAAAACCTCTCGCTGTCCTCCTGTGGGTGTCACTGTCATTAGTTGATGGCTGCTATAGGCACTGTTTGTTCCTTGGAGGAAAACATCACTTGACAGGGAGTATCACAGCATCACGGCTTCCCCTGCAATCCCAGAGCAGCAGTCAATGCCAACACAGAGCAGATGCCTTCCAGCCCTGACCAGCAGCTCCACCGTGGTGGCAGTGGGTGAAATGAAGCCATGCTCTTAGTGGTGCTGCACCATGACTCATCTCCTCTATCTACTGTAACGGGTGCCAACTACAATGATTAAGTACGTCCAAACTCTTTGACTCAGGCTCATCACACCCAACAGCTCCACGGCCATCCTAATTCACCAACCATGCATCAGCATCACTGCAGCAAACCTAATTCCCAACACCAGTGGCAGGGACCGGTCCTCCCGTGCTCGGGAGGCCGTTGTGACTCAGCTGTGACGCAAGGCAACCAGCCGCTGCCTTCAGCCAGGGGGGAGGAAGAGTCTATAAAACCTAATTTTAACTTCAAGAGCCCAATCTCCCTCCCTCCGAGCTCTGGGCAGGGAGATCAGCACCTCCAGCAGCTCGTTCTGAGCATGCAAATTAGGCTTTCTCTCTCTTATGCTCCCTAAAAGAGCCTCTGTTTTAGCTCATGGATAGACCAGTGGCTGAGGGAGGCCAGCTCCCCCTGAGACCCCTTCTCTCTCCTTATTCTCCTTGCAAAGCCTCTCTCCCTCAGTCATGTCCCAAAGCCCTCTGACACCACTCAAGCAAGCTGCTGCATCCCTAAGAGGGAGTGAGTGACCCCAATGCACAGGGGTGGCTTCACAGCTCCTCTAGAGCCACGGTGCCAAAGCAAATCCATTCCTGGTTCCCTTGCACTGACAAGAGCTGTCTCGGGCACTGTTGGTCTCAGGCAGGTTATCCTTTCGCTGTGCCACGCTTGTCAGGGTGGTAGGAACAAATCGATTTCTCTTCCATCAAAGAGTAATCTCATTATGTTCAAAAAGTTGGGTGGAAGGCGACAGCAGAGCCACCGGCCAGGTGGAGGCACTGCCATGGAAATGAATGGGAGGCACGCTGATTTACACCGCCCCAGGACTGACTCCACGCACTCAGTCTCTCCTCTTGGCAGTGCTTTGCCTCTGGCATAACTGATGGCTCGAGGACTTCAGAGTCCAGCCAAACACAACCTGAAACTGCAGCCGTTCTGCTGCGCTGTCAGCACACTGGATCGCTTTGGACATTGAGGAAAGGGCCAAGTCCTTTCTTCTCCTGGCCGTCAGGGCAAATCCAGCCCAAGCGACTGACAAGCCGTTACAGAAGTGGCCATCTGTAAAGAATCCCAAATCCAGTCCCTCAGCCCTAGGCACAAGCAGCAGTGGGAAAAGCAGTCAGGGCATCTTAGACTCAATGGCTTTGGAGAAGGAAAGCAGGCAGGGAAAGCAAAGGACAGTCACGTGCATGTCCATGTCTGCTCTCCTCCCCGGCTGGAGTTGAGGCACTGGGATGCAGCAATGCAGCAATGCAGGCAGAGCTGGCCAAGTCCTCAGGAGGGGCTTGTTTGTTCTGCAGATAACACAACAGAGATTCTTCCCCCGAGCTGTCAGCCCAGCCCCTTCAGCACCATGAATAATGCTCTGCTAAAAGCACCAGTCATGGCAAGGACCTCTGAATGCATTGAAAGCACCAACTCTCAGGGCTCACCAGCAGCTGGATAGACACTGAGGGTTATTAGCATCACCTGACAGATGGGGACGTGGAGGCACAGTGACAGTGTGTCTGGGAGCAGATCTTGAGCATCCTGCTCTCTTGACAGCTTGTTGTGACTTTACTACCGCCAAGCTCATAGCATCACAGTTGAGCTGTAGTGGAGGACTCATCTCTAGGAGCAAACTGGGAGATTTACCATGCACTTCATGGCCAGGGAGTCCTTGAAGCACAGGTTTAACTAGCCTGTGCAGAGTCTGCACCAGCAAGACAGAAGGAATTCATCCTGGCTCTGCAGAAAGGTGCTTTCCTCTTGCTGTGATTGCTGAACAACGGACCCTCTGCAGCAATCTCTCTGAGTGATCAGTCATAAACATTGCCTAGATTCCTCAACCAGAGATTAGTGACAGATTAACTTCAATGTTAACAGCCCAAATTTGTCCCTCCCCTGCTGGCACACTGACTGCCTCTGACAGTGTGGTGGGTCTGACCTTGTTCTTAATACAGCACCAAAGCCAAACACTCCCAACGTGCTGGGGTACTTCAAGCCCATCCTGGCTTGTTCCGGCTCACCACTGTCCCCCTCACAGTATGCTAAAGCCACTAATTGACTCCTCATGCTGTTTGCTCCTTCTGAAGTATAATGTGTCAGGATGTTTGGGATCATCAGATCTCTTCCTCTCTTGCAAGATGGATGTCAAAGTGATTTTAATCATCTCTATCTATGTGTAAAAAGCCTCTGAAAAAGACAAAACACATTCACCTGCAAAATGCATTAGGAAACAATCAAATGCCCTACATGGCCATGGATAAGATGATCCTGTTGTTAAGGCACTGGACTAGGACTTAAGAATTTTTAGGACTTGGGATTTTTTAGTAGCAGATACGATTGGTCTGTATAAATACAGCAGGTGGAGGAGGCCCATTGCAAAGAGGTAGAACAGCTTTTGTAGCTAAAATGATAGCGCTGGCACAAAAATAAATAGATACAAACCAGCCAGAAATAAACAGGCTGAAAACTGGAAGAGGGTTTCTAATGATCAGGGGAGCTTCAGTGATGGCATACCTTTCCCAGAAGAGCAACGAGGGCAACACAACCACCTTGCTGCAAGCTGGAGTTCCATACATTTGTGAGAGGGATTATCCAACCTGGTGACAGACGACAGCTTGTGGCTGGGATGGAGAAAGTCCCCTCCATGTCCTTACAGGGCCAGAAGGAGAGCCAGCCCCCTCTGCCTGCATCTCAGGTCTGACTTGTTATATGTCCTTACCACAGGCAGGGAGCAAACACACAGTTCCAAAGCAATCCAGCCCAAAATGCCTTGAGCCTGGATTAAGCAACCAAGTGCCATTGCTCATGGCACTGCCCCATCCCCACAGGCAGGAAAGGTGCCTCAGTTTAGTTGCTCTGCTAAAGGTGTTATCATGATCAGTGACACTTAAAGGATTTCTCATCACCAGCGGCTAACAAGATGCAAGCGGGGTATTCCTGCCTCACTCCTTCAATCCTTCAGCTCCCCTGTTCAGACACAGCCACGTTAATGATGCCGGGCTTTCAAGTTCCTTGTGGCATGAGATGACAAAATACTGCTCAAACTAATGATTTTAATGAAGTCTTCAGCTCAGTGCCCCGCAGGCCTGAACGGCAGCTGATGGCAGGGAGTGATGACATAGCAAGAGCTCTCTCTAAGCTTCAGAGGCACCACAGGTACTCACCATCCTCACTCCCCAGCTAAAAGTTAAGGTAAAGCCAGCCCTGAATACAGACGTGTTCAAACAGGCAGGGGACCACCACTGCGACAAGCACAGATCTCTTTAGGGCTCTGATTAGCAAGCGCTGTCCCACAGCTTGCATTCCTCACCTCTCCTTTCTCATGTCCGCAGGAAAAGGCAGGAGTGCAAAATGCTATCAGCTCTCATCAAATCTGTGTTTGGAGAACCTTGTCAACACTAACAGGAAAGCTACTGTGCCAGGAGAAGGTACAGTTAAGTAGGTACATGGTGCCTTTGTTGGCCTGAAGAGGGAGGAATTTGGGATCTCTGGGGAGGGAAAAGGGAATAAAACAACTGCAAGAAAGCCCTCAGAGGACACTGCACAGGTCTACCATGCGGTCAGCATTCCTGAAGGAATGAAATAAAAGCTTCCCCCACAGGAGTTAGCACGGGACACAGAGAGCACCAAGTGTACAACCACGAGACATGCACACAATGACCACGTAGCAATCCCCATGATGCTAAACCTCCCCAGACATCCCCTTCAGACAGCACGATTGACACCTGACATAGCCCAGGAAGGAATGATGGGGCCATACTCTGAGTTCATCAGGTCCTGGAGGGGGGGCAAAAGACACTCGACCCTTGGCAGGATCTGTCCCTGAACTCTTGCTGGGGGTTACAGCTAAAGAGAAACAAGTCCCATTGAGGCTGATTAGCCACTTCTAAGTTAAAAAGGTCTGATGTGATGGGGACTGCTGAGGGTCTCGGAGCTATCGGCTGGTACCTCATCTGCACGCCATCAACATAGTGATTAGACACCCTCATCACTCCCACTGCTCTGTCTTGGGACATCAGCAGAGCTTTGCACTAAAAGATGACTAATTGGCTGCACCAAGGACCAGGTGAGAGCCAGAGGTCAAAGGCAGAGCTGTGGACAACATGCCCATGGTGGTGCTCCAGCCCTGTCAGCAGCTTTCCCTCTGCACAGATGCCTACCCTGTGGCCGTCTAAATCACAGCTCCTCTTCTTTCCCTTCTCCTATGAAGCCGCCAAGCCTTAGCGTTCCTGGTTTACTGCACATCACCGCATTGAAACCAGAGGTTTCTGTGCTGCGGTGTTTGTTAAAGGGGCAAAGAAAAGCAGGAAATAAAGAGATGACATTTCCAAACTCAGACCTCGTCAGATCTATGGATCACCAGCACATTAATGAGCCCGTGCTTTATTGCACATCCTATGAACAGAGAGCAGCTCTCATATGGCTGGGGAAAAAATTTCCACTAGATAAGCTAAATCAGGAAAAGGCACGTTTGGTGCGTTACATAAATGTGTTAAAAATTGGATGTCAAAAAGCCCTGTCTCTCCTTTGCCCAAAAGCAACAGCAAGTTCGAAAATCTAAGTGCTTCTAATTTGTTTGCTGGCTGGATCAGCTTCCAAATTCAGTGAATTCTCTATCAAAGCTGATGAGCTGGAAGTCCCTGTGGCTTCGATAGATGGAAGGAGAGAGAAAGAGAGAAATGGGCAAGGAGCGTGAGCTTGATTAAAACTAAGGAGGGAATAGAAGTGTTTCAAACAAGACCCTGAGCAAATGAGTTAATATAATAACCCTTGGGAACAAAACTGTCTCCAGGATGTGCATGGCTGTTCCTTACCCTGCTCCCCTCATAACGGGTTTAATTAAATGATTTCTTATGATTTATTTAGTTATTTTTCTTACAAGAAGCCAGGCTGATGAGAAGAAAACAACCACCTATGGCACAGCAGAGGGGTGTTTGGCTTCCCTTTGTAGGGACCAAGAGGGGAGCTCTGGCCAGGGATTCCTTTCCCAGTTGGGCACATCATGACCAACTTGCAGCCTCTGAAGGGCCCTAACACCCCTCCATGCACTGCTATCAGTCAGACGAGCCCCCTGGGTACCTCTGAAACATAAAGCTGCTTATTTAGTGAGCTCTTAAAACAGGTCTAAATAGGTTTTCTCTTGTCAGAATGGGACTGGGGAGCAGAGCTGAGACTTGTGTCTCAGGGCGGATGAGGCTGCAGTCAGAGCTCTCTGTGCAGCTCTTGGGGAAGCACTGCTACAGGAGGACCTGTGTGTTGAATGTGAACACACTGCCACATTTAAACACATCAAAACCATAGCTGTCATACAAATCTCACAGCATTTGCTTGCTTTGCTCCAGCTGAGTGCGTGCTCCTATTAATGCAGATGGGCTTGGATCTGTTGCTTTTGCTCAGAGTGTGATGGGTTGGGGAAATGATTGAAAGGGCATCGGTGCTATCTTACTGTGGGGAAAATGCCATCCTGATCCCCTGCTCACTCAGCTAAAGGCAGCATCAAAGTGGAACTGTCATTTGACAGGTAAGAACTGGCAGGCAACATCCTTGCCAAGGCTGCAATTCATGGCTGCCAGACCAGGAGAGAGTTCCTAATGCCAAAATGCTCTGTCGGTGTGGGGTAAGATACAACAGCTTTTGTTCTCTGTCAGCATGTGGGAGAAGTGGCAATCTCTGAGAAAAGGGCAGGTGTGGAGCTGTCAGCAGGGAAATAAACCAGATGAAAACCCTTTTCCTGGGACTTGCATTTCTTTCCCTCAATGAGGTTTGTATTTACCGGTAAAACCTGAATTCCTTGGGCTTGTGTGATGCTATCTCACCAGTTTGATATCTATGGCTCCACAAGGTCATCCTTAACCTTAGCTGAAGCCAGAAAACATCTCTTGGACAGAAAGAAGGCAATAAGCAGAAAAAGGACCAATGCTGTAAGGGCTCTATGAGCACTGAGACAAGAAGCAAATGAGAGCCTGAGCTAAGCAAACCCATTACAGAAGAACACGCACCATAAACCAAGAGGTAAATGATGTCACACTTCCTCCTGCACGCTGGGGAGAGATGGTGGGGAGCTCCTGAGATGCAGTTGCCCTCCTTTGCCTTTCTTCCCAGAAGGAGTTGTTTGGAAAGGTTCACAGTACCCCTTTATTGTCCATTTCATAGCAAATTCTCTCATTTTTCCTCATTCAAATAATTCTGGGTACGCGTGCCTCCATAAACTTAAGAACTAAAGTGTCTTGAGTGTGAGCTTGTACCCAGCACACACTTGATGCTGTGAATTATCTCCTGCACAGAAGGGTTACTGGGACAGGACAGATATTGGCTCTAAAATCACCACCTCAGGGGCCCGATAAAGACAAACCTGAATCATCTCAAGCCACGTTCTCGATGAAGCGAAACGTGGTTTGTTTGCCAACTCACTGCAACATCCACACCGTGCTGCACACAGACCATCCGCAGGGCAGTTCTTACCTGCCGGAAGCCTCTGCGTGTGTGCTGCAGGATCTTCAGGGCATAGTTGGACCTCTGGCCTTTGCTGTTGAATTCGATGTGGCCGGTGAGACCTTCCAATTCTACCTGTCCAAGAGAGAATGAGTTACAGCGCCCATCGAGGCAGCTCACCCCAGTGCCTGCAGCACAGCCGGAGGCCCCATGCACCGGCCATCCATCCTCCTAGCACCTACAGCAATGCAACCCTTGTGTCTCAATCCTAATGGCTTTTGGAGTCTGGCAAGGGTAGCAAAGAGATGGAGGGGAGCAGGAGCATCAGCAGCATGAGATGCATGGCTCCCCAGATCTCACCACTGCGGCCCCTCACTGCCTCCCTCCATCCCAAGGCTAACACTGCAGCGGGCATGAGCTCTTCACTGTGTCACATTGAATCTCTGGCTGGGGATTCCTCCACAGACCATTATGTGCTGTTTCACAGCATCAGGATGGCATTTAACACAAGAGCACATTGCAACAGAGCCAGGATGAGTGTCTAGCCTCACTGTGCAGATTAACCACCGCTTGCTTGCTGCTGGAGCACCTCTTGAGTAAGAAGAGCAAGCTACAGAGCCAAAGGAAGCTGGAGGATTTAGTTGCCTTGGACTAAGGGTGAGACTTAAAGCATGGTTGGCTGGCATGGACCAGAGTGGTACAAGGTTCAGTTTCAGCTGAGCTTTCCTTTGGAGGAAAGAAATGTCTCCTTGAATTTCCTCATCTCACAACATTTCAGCTGCATCCCAAACCGACGCAGGAAACACGCTCCTTCTGCATGGTCCAGCTCAGCTCCAAGGAACCATATTGAGAAACTCCAACTATTGCAGAAGGCTGAAACTTCATTATCTGTTCTCACGACAGAACTAGGCTTGACCAGTTCCAGCAACCACGCTTTTGGGTTCAAAGGAGCCCAAACCCCATTACAGGCAAACTCACATCATACCACTGAGCAATAAGCAATTGTACTGCATGACCTTACATCAATCCAAGTTCACTCAAAACAGAGTGGAAACATTTGTGCTTTAAAAAAACCCTTCACTGAATTCCAGCTTTTTTTGCAGCAAAACCTGGAAAACGGCACATTTCATGTTGTTCCAAGGCCGGTGACAAACCAGCCCTCAGATCTCTCTTTCCATTCCCAGAGCTACCTTCAAACAAACCGGCACTCTGTGCTTGAGAACCGTGCCAACGCCAGCGTGTACATACACATCTTTCCTTCTGGCAGCGATGAGCACTAGCTCCCGACACACCGAACGTCAGTCCCTCCTCACCATTCTCAGGTAGTTCATCAGGCTGGTGCCGTGCTGCCAGATCTGGGCAGACCCACAGGACAGGGGCTTCACCCCGATCTCCTGGCTCCGGTTCAGCTCCTGCACGGCGGTCACCACAGCGTACACAGCATCGAACAGCAGGGCCGACGAGAGCTGCGGGCAAACAGAAGGAGATGAGATGGGAAGACAAAAATTGAGCACGTTTGGGACCTTGTGGCTCTATCCACAGCCTTCAATGGGATCAGAAAGGGGCAAAACGCTTGTCCTCCCCTGCGAGGACAGCAAGCCCTGCTTGCCCATCCTTCTGTTCCAGCAACATCCTGCACCCTGTCTGCACCCATCCGAGGGCAGGGAGAACAAAAGCAATGACATCCTGGAACTGCTGTGCCTCTGTGAGCATCACTGGGGCAAGAGTAATCCCTTTGCCAGCCCCACTCCCAATCTATTTCTCCTTCTCTTCTTGCTTGACTCCTTACCCTTTCTATCTCTGCTTGCTTGTTCCTCAGGGTTTCTTTCATCACTATCACCTTTTGTCCCTATTCGTTTTCTCTCAGCCTCCCAAATCAAGGTGTGTTTTCTGCTGCTTTGGTGGCCACTGATTAAACTGCTGGCCAAGGGGAATACACTCGAGAGCATCAGGTGTATGAAGTTCATATGTAGGCAGCTGGACAGAATAAAGATCCTGTGCCTACACCTACAGAAGGAGAGATGACTGCTGCTTCAGACTTCATCAGGCAACAAAGAATCCTCCTTTGAAAGGCAGATCCACAGGAAATGAGGTTTTGCTAGGTTTACTTGTTAAGCAACAGCCTCCTGGCTTTCAGACCCTGTAGAGACCATCTAGGTCTTTGAAACAGCCTCCACTTTCCTGCTGGCTGTTACCTGCTCTGTAATGACTCTGCTGAAGCAATGCTCAGAATCACAGAGTTCATCCCCTCTCCTCCTCATTTGTGCTTTGTTTGCCTTCAGTCAGATTTCTTTGTCCATCAAGCCTCAGAAGCTGTGTTTTCTGCCCATGCACAACCGTTTTGATGCTTTTTGATCTAGGTACTAATCAGCCATTTGCTCTCTCAAGTTCACTGTTGTGACGAAGATTTTGCTTCTAATTATTGTCACCTCCAGACTCTGCTGGAATTAAGTTGTTGCAGCTCATTACTATCAAGGCTACGTTTTCCAAGAGCATCCTCTTACTATCCCAGCTCCTGGCAACAGGTTCAATCTCTAGCGTGGGGCTCCTTTCCCCCACCTTTCCCTGCTTGTGGCAGTGGTATCTGCGTCCTCTATTCCTCCCAAAGCCTGATTAGGTTTATTCACTTCTGCCAGTGGCCCTGCAGGAACAATCTTGCCCAGTTCATTCACCCCAAGGAACCTTTGGCTTCAGCTGTGTTACTAATTGGAGCAGAGCGAGCCAGACTTAACCCTGCTTGATCTTACTTGAGTAGTGGTAAGACCTCATTGACCACAATGGCCCAGGATTAGGCAGCTGACAAGCAGCATGAGGCCTTGAAATGTGCAAGCTGCATGAGTTAAAAGGCATGACTCCAGCCTAATGCTAGCAAAACCCCAAACGCCAGCTCTAACCTCTCACTTACTCAACCCTGGTATAGGCTCACATTTGCTCTATCAAATTCTTCCTACATGCATCATTTTAGCCTGTTTTACACAAATAGCATTTAGGGAACCCTTCAGTGAGCACTCAATGACTTGGCATCTGTCAGTCTTGCATCTGACCTGCCTCCCACACAACAGGCAGCACCTTTGGGCATATATGTCAAGAACTTGCTGCTAACAATAAGAATTGACTGGCTCCAGAGCTATGAAGTTTTATCACAGCTATTTTGCAAGAGATAAACTGTAAATCAGAGGAGCTGAGCAGCCTGAGGACACACAGTGACTTAATGGTAGAGGGGGAACCCAATGCCCCAGTTTGAGCATCCTGTTTCCTATCCTCCCTCAGCTATGGGACACCACAGGTCCCTTTGCAATGGCAGCAAGCCACTCTCCTGCACTTCATCCACAGGGAAGTCTGCTAAGGGTTTCTGCTTACTATTCACATCTGCCCTAAACATTCCCCTCCTGGGAAGCATTTCCCAGAGCTTCTTAAAGGAGCTGATCCATTCTTCTCCCTACCTTTCTTTTTTACCTTTAATACAGATTCTTTTTCTAATAGGACCTTTTCAGTCTGTCCTGTCCTCAGCCCCTATTCCATGAAGCTCTCCCATTCAGACACCATATACAATTAGCAATTGCTTTTCTGAATCAGAAACCATGATAATACCAGTTGGCCAACCAAAACTGTTATGAGAGCAAATGCAATCCCTGAGACCCCAAAGTTCCATCATGTCATACCAAATGAGAACATGGGCCCAGCATTTTTAATTGCCTCCTGTTGGGTTTTCATTTCCATTTGCCATGAGCAGTTAATGATCTCTTATTAGCTGGTGAGCGAGAGGCTTGTATATCTTAGTGAAGCATTTGACATTATTGATTAGGGTATTTTACTCCTAAGCCTCAATTTGTTAGGGTTTCTGGCAGCCCCCTTATGATTTCAAACAATGTAGGGATTAGGGCGAGGGTTGGAATACACAGGATCAAGCACTCTGTGTTGGGAATGGGTATTCCTCCCACATCCTCAATATACCCCAACATCCCTCTTTCCTTTCTTAAAGAAAAACCACAGCTTTCCTCAGAAGCACCACATTTCCATTCCTAATGCTGCTTATCATTTATGCCAGACATTCCTTGCCCCTTTAGGCTCAAAACAAGGCTCCTATGTCAGCTTCTCGATCCTGTGGCCCTGAAGCAAGACGCTTGGATGCATGGGAGCCTGGCAGCACAGCAACATACAAGACACACCCATACCTTGATTCCCCCTTCAATACCTCTTGAACAGCCACCAGGACTCAGACCTGCAACCCTAGCACAAGCGTGGCCTCTCTCCCACTTGTCCCTCATCTCAACTCAGTGCAGCATTTGCTGTGTTGCCCTGCACCACCATCTCCCTCTGCCACTATTCCCTCGGAACTCACATAAATCATGTTCAACACAGCAAGGTAATTTGGGATGCAGGCTGTGTGGAGGAAACCATTCACAATTAGATAGCATTGGAGTGCAGCAGCTCAGAAGAGGCCTCTCTGGCTTTTGTAGGTCTTATCACAAGGTTAACACAAGCTCACTGCTTGAAGCCATCTCCTGCAGCCCTGAAGGTTCACATGAGGACTGGGGCATTTTAACCACACGGTCTCTCATGCTTTGGGACCTTAATCTTCAGCAGAGGAGTGAAAAGAGGGATGGAGGCAGCACCTTTTGAACTGCTTCTGCTCAGACTCAGCAAATGGATCCGTCACTGCTCTTGTGTACATTGTTCTTCATGTCACCTATAAAATCTCTCACTGCTTTTATGCTCTCATTTTAAACCACAGCTTTGTCACTCTGTCACAAAAAGCCAATTTGCCTGTTAACAAATTGATTCTCTTCCTCGTGTGCATCGTCTGATTTGCACAGGTCCCTGTTGGGTTTGTGCCATCTCTGCAATGTAAGAGCTCTGCGACAGGCTGCATGTGAAAAGACTTGGTAAGCTCAGCAGTGGTCCTCCACTCGAAGATTCATGGGTCTCGAGAGACTTCCCTATATCCTTTAAGCCTATTTCTTGACAATGAAAGTTGCTGATAAAAATTGCCACCTGATGGATGCCTCATCACAACAAGGCTCCAGAAAAGGGAGCCTGGAGGCTGTACCTGAGAGCTAAGGTACTACAGCCTTGGGAACAAGTCACCGACTAGATAGGATCAAGAAACCCATCTCCAGCCCTGCACACATCAGCTGGCAGGACCATTCTGACCAGTGTCTGCAACACAACCAACGCTATCGGATGTCCGGCACCTCAAGAGCAGGGACCGTGCCTGAGCTCTCCCTGTGTAAACTACACCAGATCTACCCCTCTAAACTAACAGCAGGTAAGACATGGTTAATTAGAAGATCTCACTTTATATTGACAGAAATCTCCCACGTAAAGGCCATGCTTAAAGGTAAACTGATCTCCAGGGAAACAAGAACAAGCTTGGCCAGCCTGGCGTTTGCCACGTGGGGTTTTTGTCCCTTTCTTCCTGAAACATTATCATCTGTATCTTTGCCCCCAAACATAACAGAGAATTGAAACCATTTAAATGCTGTGAAATAGACTTTACAATCTGGATTTTATTCAGTGACATAAACACTTAATTACAAACATCTGTTTTAGCCTAAATTCTAATTACCTAATCTAGCCATCTGTAATTTGAATGATTTTCTCTGATTTCCTTTCTTTGCAGTGTGATTAATGAGAATAGCATTAGAGCAAGCAGCTCCCTCCTCCTTCTTCAGATGCTTTCTCAGCTCTAGCAAGAAAGCCCTGGGATTTTGCAGCTTACAGGAAACCTCCCTCCTGTCACTTCCAGCTGTTGAGCTCCCTTTTTATCCCTTTAGTATGAGCTATCCCATAAGATATCCGCTTCTCAGGACTAAAAGGGGAAATTCTTACAGAGAAAGCTGTCAGATTTCCAACCTGCCAGATTTCCAACAGCAGAGACAATGCATGAGGAAATGGTACTGGACTCTGCTTGCAGCACAGGAGAGGAAACACATTCCCTGCCAGGGAATATTTTACTTAACCTCTGTCCTGCATCATCATCACCAGCCAGGGCCAGGCACTTTTCCCATTACCTGGGCCATGGCATATTGCTGATGGAGCTTTGCTTCAGAGAGTGAACCTTCACATCATCAGAAAGACATCACCTTTTGGTTAAGGCCCTACACTAGGGCTGAGGAACACTGAACCCATTTTCAATAGGTTGCCTGGCTCTGAGATAATGGGCAAAGTCACTTCCATGCCTCACTTTCCCATTTGTATGGCAAGGATTACAGTCCTCCCAGGCAGCTGAGCACCAGTAGCACAAGGGGAGCTACCTATCACAGCCAAGAGCAGCCACAGAGCAAGTGCTTGGGAAGCCACCACAGCCCTCAGGGCAGGTCCTGTAACAACAGCAGGGCTGGAAGTGTTTAGATCAGGGCAATGCAGCATGGCCAAGCCCCCTGCCTCCAGACACATCCTCCCTGGCCCAGGAGGAAGCCTGCTGTATGCCTGATTACGCTTTATGAATGACTGAAAGGAGCATGCAGCTGACTTAATATTACACTGATGGGTGATTTAGGCTGAGGCTCACAAACCAGACAGCTCCTTTCAGCTCCAAACTCCTTCATTGTTTAAAGAAAGTGCTGCAATGGGGCATACTCCTGCATCCTTCCACCTCGTTTTGCTGGTTGTCCAAGACAACACAGGGTAAGGAAGGCACAATGAGATGAGTTATCCCCCCATCGCTCCCGTTCCTTCTGTCTTCTGTTTGTACTAATAAAAGGAAATTTATTTTTAATGACTCCAAACAGCCCCTGCAACTGTCATCCAAATAGGAAGCTTCCTGGTAGCAACCCTATAGAGATTTAGCAGGGCAGACAGCAAGCTCGCTGCAGTCATATCTGCACAGCAGGGCTGGGAGCAGGGGAAGCAGGATGGTCCCAGGCACGTATTAACTGTGACCTCAGCTCCATGGCAAGCCAACAATATGGAGACACAAAGGGCAGAAAGCTTCTTATTTTGCCTGTTTAATATCACTTTTGTGGTGATAAGGAGGTTTTCAGCTGCACACAGCTCCCTCAGCTTGTTAAGGAGACTATGAAGTCATTAAAAGCGATGCAAATGGTTCCACTGATGACATTTTCTCTTTCTGCTCTCCCCCAGCTCCAACCATGACCCCCAACATCCCAGAGTTAGCAAATCTGCTCTGCAAACCTTTCCAGTTATAAAGAGTCCCTAGGGAAGATCTCGGTGCTGATCTGCACGCTCATCAGGGAGCATCTAACTTAACACAGCCCCTTGGCATCTGCCTAAACCCAGCCCTTTTTATCCTATTTGCATCCAGACTCCCTCTTCCACGAGCCATTTTCCTAGAGATAAAATACACAGACAAGGACAGATTTCACAAGGGAAACACTGAAACAGGGTTGCATCACCCCCTGCACACACATTTAAATATAATCCAAATTAAGATGGGGCTTTAATTTAAAGCTGAACAGCCACTCAAGCACAGACAAGCCCTCTAAAGCTCTATACCCACACATCTCCCCAGGGGCCCTCTGGAAGGCTGCAGACTTTCAGGATCACTTTAGTAATCTCCAGATAAGGATGCTCAACACTTGAAGTCCTCTCCTACCTACTTAACTAAGCAGTTCTGTCCACTTCATCCTTCCCAATCCTGGACCACCATCTCCCCAAGACCAACCACCACGAAGGCCAATCCAAGGTACAGCAGTTTGACAGCAGCCTGGTGATGTGCCCCAGCTCTTTAGCACAGGGGTTGAATAAGTAGTTGAAACCATACATTTAAGACCAGAGTTTCTGTCTCTTCACATGGCCTTCACACTGCATTGCCCGCTCTGAACCAGCTCTTTTCCCAAGGTTTTCCTGTTGGTTTATAGCAACTTCCAGCTCAGGGAGGCAATGGGAATGAATGTTACTTACTGCTGGTCCAGTGAAAGGAGCGTGATCACAGTTCTCCTGCCAGGACTGGTTGAGGCTCTGGACAAACTCTTGGAAGAAAGCATGAGACTGGTTGAAAATGGAAAACCCCAGGATGTTGACTCGGTCGTCGAGCAGGTTGTCCAGGCGCTGGAGGGAAAACTCCTACAACAACCCCAAACAGAAAATGGGATTAGGGAAGAAAACGGGCACCAAAAGCTTCAAAAGCACTGGATACCGTGATGCCTGCTAACCACGTCTGACTGTGGGGCTATTCCTTATTAACCAACTCTTCTGACAGGAGGTTCCCTGCTACACAGAGGTTGCAGCAGAGGCAAGGAGGAGGATGATATTTTGCAGGTGAAGCCAGTAACCTGCCATAACCAGCCAGAGGTGGTCAGGTTTATTGTGGCCGATCCAGAGCACAAAGCTCCTTAGTAGATTCATACTTCCCAAGGCACTCCCACAAAATAATCCCTGCTGTGTTCACCATGAAAACACTGCTGTGCCTGACTATTGCTATGGCTGAGAACACCAGTGTGAAGACACAGACGATGGTTCTTCACCCAAACCTAGGGCAGGAGGGATGCCCAGGCCACCAAGACCAGTGGAGACACATGTCTGGAGAGAAACTAATGTCCTTTACTATTACCTATCTCCTCCAAAAGCCTGGGCAGCAATCATGAGTGCAGCAGTGAGCTCTCCCACCACCATGTCCAATTCAGTGACACCAAGTTTAAGCTGCTAAATCAAAGCAGTTCCTCCCCACGAGGCAACCCTGCACTGCTCCTTTCTGCCATCGGGTACCAGGAGGAGATGCCACGCACAGAACATCCTAATGCCCTGCTGGAAGATGCTTTGGCTGCGGGCTCTGGAATGCAGCTCATCCTCTTGACTTTCTGAAGAGCAACGTGGTGAGATGTATAAAAATGACTGTATAAAAAAGGCCAAAACCATCCCCAAACAAGCTCTATTTTGCTACTCACATCAATGGAAGCAGTTACACGACAAAGCCAGTTTCCTGGAGGAAAGTCCAGCCTTTCTTGTCCTATTAGCAGGAAATAATGGTGCTTTCCTCACTAACTTCTCTTTTGTTAATTGCTAAAACTGAGCGAGAAAGTGGGAGTGATAGTTTCAGAAGCTGCTGGATGCCCATTCTCTTCCATCACTAATACAAATGTCTTTTGGCTCTGTGGAGTATGAGATTTCAGCAAGTCAAGGCATTTTTTATCTTGCCTGCACACGGGTGCATGTAGGAATAATGCCTGTAAATCTCTCAAACATGGACTTACAAGACTATTCCAGCATGGCAATGTCCCATGAGGATGCGATCAGGCACAGGATTTAAGTGCATTTTGGACACAACCGCGTTAACGTTAGGTAACATGAAATTGCTTGTGAACTATTGATTCATTTGAATGATATTATGCTCCTGCCTTCCTGACAGGTTATCCATTCACCCACGGCATCCTGTCAACCCACGCAATGAGGGCAGATGGCTAATGAGAACCTGGGCTTGAGGAGATCCTGGATGCAAGCAGAGCAGCAGGAGGTATGTTCAGCCCCTGCAAAATACCACTTCCCCCCAAGCCAGAGCTGGGAGGCAAATGGTGTGTGGGACAATGCAAGCAGCTGCCTGACTGCCCTCTTGGCTTCATCATATGGAGAAAGAAAGGAGATGTTATGTATTGAAACAGCCACACAGTCCAAGGCTTCCATCTCAGCCCAGATTGCCCCAACCTCAAAGCAGCTGCAATCAGTGCCCTTCAAAGCACTTCTAAGCTTTTGAGGTTGCTCAGATGCTGGCAGGTTTGTGACACTGCTCCTTATATTAGCAACTCCTGGGTGAGGGAATGAGCAACACTTCACATGGGGGAAACTGAGACAGAGGGGTGCTTTGCCCCAGTCACAAAGCATTGACAAAGCTAGCCCCACAGCTCCAAGCTACTCGAGCTGGCTGGGTCAGTCCCAGACCCTGGTTTGGATCACTCACATTATTCCAGAGGGACCCACATACACATCAGCCTCATTTCTCTGTGCCATGCTGAGGATGGAGGCAGCTGCCAGGGTTTGCCTGACAAGACAACCACAGGCAGACCTGGAGTCAACAATCTGCTTTGGTTCCAATGTTAACAGCAGCTTTTTCCCAGCTCCCATTGCTGGCCCTTGCAAGTTCTGGTTGTTCTCTACAGACAACACTCTCCGTATCTGTCATTTTCTAGGCAAGCCTCCAGCTGCAGAAAACCCCATTTCTGCTGTTGTCATGCTCATAAAGCATTCATCTCTAACACAGGGGGATTGCATGGATGGTTGACAACCCTTTCTCTGCATTACTCCCTATCCCTTCCCTCTGCCCTGGCTTCAACCCTCTGCCATTAAATGCTTTTCCATCGGACATGCACAAGAGCATTCTGCTGACCCAGGTCAGAAACAAGGAAACGAGCCATGAGCTGCCTATGCAGTGAAATGGAGATAAACCATCCTTGAGGGACACAATTCATTTGCAATGGGATAGAAGAGATTGGGTTAGGTCAGGATTGCTATGGAAGGCAAAGGGGTGAGAGCATTCGGATGCTTCAGTAGCTGCCGGCTCAGCTTCTGTCCCTATTTGTTTTTAGCTCTCTTACACAGTCATTCACCACACCTGACATTTCCAAACCCACATACTACAAAGTCTTTTACCATCCAAGGCTTGCACCATTCAGCTGATTTCCCATCCTCAGCCCTGGTCCAACCTCCCACCCTGCCCTCCCAATGGCAAGCGATGGCTGAGCCTCTAATGCTGCCTGGCACAGATGGGAGAAGTGGTGGAAAACCCTGCTCTGGAGGTGATCCCAGATGGCTCCTCTCGCCATGTATTTGTGTGCAAGTGTTAAAGCATTTACCTTGACAAAGAGCAGACTGAGGCAGGGAAATACTGCTCGGATTTGAGAAGACACTCGAATGGCTCTGTAGCAGGTACAAGGGGATTCAGTGTTAGCTTTCTCTTTGACATTGAAGCTGACTTTTGCCTAAGCTAGGCACAACTGTGGCATTCATACCTGACCTTGCCTTGGCTGGTAGACAAAGCTGGTGGGCCTACTGCTTACACAGAGCAGTTTCACAACTGCCTTCCCTCTCTTCTCCTCAGCTCATGTAGTTACTCTTCCTTATCTGCAGTGCTGGCTGATGCTTTTTGTAGCCTAGAAGATGGTTTTCCAAGGCAATGCAAGCAAGGTGCCATTAGGAAAATAACTCACACCTATCAGCAGGTTCTTTCTAGAGGAGGACTCCAAGCCCTGGTGCACCTTGTTATAGCCTCCTCTGCCTGCACAAATACCTGGTGAACCCAAGAAGGAGTGAATCACAGAGATGGGCGCAAACAGCTTCTCCCTCATCACCTCCTATTGCACTGCCAATGCCTTTCCCCCCTCCCTACACCAGAACAATTGCAATGATTGACCAGCACTTTGCCCTCCATCTCAGCCCAGCTCCTTCATGCCAACCAGTCCAACTTGGGGCACAGAGAAGACCATCAAGCATCAAGCCAAGGCGAATTCCAGGTACACAAATCCTGGCTGCCTGCGTTTTTACCCCTCTTTTCAGCCTGTTGTTTTAAAGCACCCACCAAAAGCCATCATTCTGTGGGAGGAGATCTCAGGGAAGGCAGGCCCAGAGGGTCTGCAGCCAAAATTAATCAACTTTTAGAGAAGAGAAATCCCCAGGCTTTGCTCAAATCACAGCAAATTCTGCAGCAGCACCAGGCAATTACAGAGTAGATTTTCTGACTTCTATACAGGGCTGCAACCACTAAATATGTGCTGTTAAATAACAACACTTAGCGATTCTATAGTACTCTATATTTTCCAAGTGCTAGGCACACATTAGCTAATTGAATACAAAGGGGTTCCCTGGGAGACAGCAGTGGAGGAGCTATTAGAGGATGAAATCACTCTTGGGTTTCTGTGCTTCATGCAGCACTCGACCCGCACTCTCACTTTACAGCAACACACAAAAGCTATGGAGTGACCTGAACATTTAGACTATTTGGAGAACCTGGCTAATAAAAGCCACACAACCAAGCCCTGTAATTCACGAATTTAAAGCCATGAGCTTGGATTTTCTGGCATCGCTAGCTGCAAGTTATGGATCAGGAGATTTACAGGCTATACTCTCTGTTCCATTAGGAACATAAACCCATAAGGTACAAGCATTTTACTCTCTTGACTTGCACATTCGCATCACAGGCCAGCTGATCCCAACTGGGACTTGGCACCCATCAGTCCTCTCCCACCTCAGCTCCCATTGGCAGTAGGGCTCCTGCAATGTGCTGGTGGGCTTCTGATGGAGATCCCCTCCTGCCCTGTTTCCCTCTCTGTAACACAGCAGCAGCACACTGCTCCTCACACTGCACAGTGAGTGTCAGAGTACAAAATCAGCATCAGAGGGGGCTGCCTTGCCTCCTGGGGACTCCTGCCAGGAAATTATTATGCCTTGAATAGAGAGGAGGAAACTGAGGCGCAGAGCTAAAACCGGCAGGCAATTAAAAACCTGACAGCACAATTCAGCCTAGAAGAGACGTGGGTTAACAACGTGCCTTACAAGGCAAAGCATCAAAGTCAGCATTCATATATAAGCATCTCATTAATCAAGTATCCTCCCAGATCTGCACCTAAGTGATCCACTCCCAAACTAAACTAGACCCCGCAAAGGATGGCTGAGGCCTTCCCTCACTACTGCCATCCATCACATCCTCCCTCCCAAATCTGGGAAGAGGTTGGGGACTTCTGCATGGAAAGGCTAGCCAAGAAGGGGATCATTTCAGGGACTGCAGTAATAGGACAAAGGGTAAATGGTTTAAAACAGGGAAAGTTCAGGTTAGATATAAGGAAGAAGTTCTTTGCTGTGAGGATGGTGAGGCACTGGAATGGGTTGCCCAAAGAAGTAAATGCTCCATCCTTGGCAGTGTTCAAGGCCAGGCTGGACAGAGCCTTGGGGGCAACACAGTCTAGTGTGAGGTATCCCTGCTCATGGCAGGGGGATGGAGCTGGATGATGTTAAGGTCCTTTCCAACCCAAACCAGTCTATGGTTCTATGATCATTAGCATCATAGCAGCCTGCCTCCTAAGCAAATATTGCTTCATGTGAAGCTGTGAGCCCTCGAGACTCCCCTGCCCTGCCATGCT